TAGTAACACACCTGACACTGGCACCATCTAACACCATTGTAAATATTCAGTACTCACACAGAGTTACATGGTGTAGTAGGACACCTGACACTGGCACCATATAATACCATGGTAAATACTCATTTCTCACAGAGTTACATGGTGTAGTAACACACCTGACACAGGCACCATCTAACACCATGGTAAATACTCAGTTCTCACACAGAGTTACATGGTGAAGTAACACACCTGACACTGGCACCATCTAACACCATGGTGAATAATCAGTTCTCACAGAGTTACATGTTGAATTCTCCGACTACCAGTTTACTACTAGAGTTCCATTGCTCTCCAGTATAACAAGTTCATTGTTAACACAATACTTCATTTGACACCAAAAGGTTACAAAAGCAACAGAGAAGTCATTGATAAACATCGGTTCTGTGATTGTCATAAAATAAAACAATCAGAAAGGTTGATAAATATCCATACATACCTGGCTATTACAATGACTCGGTACTGTTTTCTTAATGTGTCATCAATCATGTATTAGAACCAGCTAATTCCATAAATGAGATATAATCTATCTGCTCCAACATGACAAATGATACCAAAATGTTCAGCTGATAGTTAACAGCTTATTGAGGAGCAGTTGATGCTGATTTCAGAAGAACAGTTGAGCACTAGGAGTGGAGACTTTTTCTGAGAACCATTAAAAATTCAACTTGCAGATAATTACTTGTAATGCAATAATGCATCATCTAGTTGATAGCTAGTTGACTGTTAAGTAGTTGAGCACAAGATGGTAACTCCAACTTAAAATTATTAAAATATCTACAGCTGAACATCAGTTGAATACTCACAAACATCTTGATTATTACAGAACTGATATCAAAACTAGCTGAATTCTGATGGAAACCCCCAAACCATTGTTTATTTGAGTTAAATGTTCACTTTTTGGTTTTATAAAGTAAGGCCCAATACTTACATATTTTTATTTTTTATTTCTACAAAATTCAAATTATCAAGTGTTTTCATACATGTTTACTTTCTTTTAATTTTATATACAATTAATGTCAGTTCAATAAAGTTGCTAATAAACTAGGTGTCAACTTTTATATGTAATGAATTAGTGCTTAAGCTTAATTGCATGGCAATCATATTAACAGTCTTCAACTGATCATTAACTGAAATATTTTCACTAGTCCTCTTAGCTAGTTGTCAACTCACCATCAATTATATAACTTTGGTAACCTTTCTTCCGTGATGCCTTTTTAAGTAAAATATGTAAATAACATTTCTGTACATTTTCTCTTCAAATATCCTTACAGTTTATGCAGGTTTATTTCTGTTCTACAGAATATCATTATAATTATCTCAGAAGATAAAAATCTATATACAACATTACTTTGTGCATGAACAAGACAGGAACATAACAAACGTTATAAACATTACCTAGCATTTCCTTTAACCAGCTGGCCACAAGTAACGGAAGAGTTCTTACAAGCCTCGTACATGTTACTAGAAATGTTGCAGAACAGATGAAGCTGGTCATCTCTCCCTGGACAACTACGCTACAGTAACAGCTCTTCTCGTTCTTACAAGCCTCGTACATGTTTCTAGAAATGTTGCAGAACAGATGAAGCTGGTCATCTCTCCCTGGACAACTACGCTACAGTAACAGCTCTTCTCATACTTGTTTTGCATACTTAACATACAACATTTAAACAGCAAAACAATATCTTAAATTAAACTTACTTTAACATTATTTCAATATTACCCCTATTTGTTGGTGTAATATACAATTAGCATTATAACACAAACTTTGGTTGCCTGGCTTCATATCCAATCACTGTTGTTAAAATCCACTGACCTCTTAAGACTCTATAAACACTTAATATTATACAACAAAACACTGGCATGTAACAAAAGTACAACAAGTGTATGTACATCAGGAATAACAAAAGGTAAAGGTAGGTAAATTTTGAAACAGAAACACTGTAGATAACATTTAACAACACCGCCTTGTGGGGAAAAAACAACACCGCCTTGTGGGGAAAAACAATACCGCCATGTGGGGCACTATCACTATACTATCCATTAAACAATACCGCCTTGTGGGGCACTATCACTATACTATCCATTAAACAATACCGCCTTGTGGGGCACTATCACTGTACTATCCATGAAACAATACCGCCTTAAGGGGCACTATCACTGTACTATTTATTAAACAATACCGCCTTATGGGGCACTATCACTGTACTATCCATTAAACAATACCCCTTGTGGGCACTATCACTATACTATCCATTAAACAATACCGCCTTGTGGGGCACTATCACTATACTATCCATTAAACAATACCTCCTTGTTGTGAACTATCACTTTACTATCCATTAAACAATACCACCTTGTGGGGCACTAATACTGTACTATCCATTAAAAAATAACCCCTTGTTGGGAACTATCACTGTACTATCCATTAAACAATACTGCCTTGTGGGGCACTATTACTGTACTATCCATTACACAATACTGCCTTGTGGGTCACTATTACTGTGCTATCCATTTAACAATACCGCCTTGTTTGGAACTATCACTGTACTATCCATTAAAAAATACCCCTTGTTGGGAACTATCACTGTACTATCCATTAAACAATACCACCTTGTGGGGCACTATTACTGTACTATCCATTAAACAATACTGCCTTGTGGGGCACTATTACTGTACTATCCATTACACAATACTGCCTTGTGGGGCACTACCACTATATCATCCTTAGGCAGAAATCAGAACACAGATAGTCCAAATAGTAATACAACAATTAAATATATAGGTTAATGTCATAACAGGGACTACAGTCTGATAGATCTTACCAGCTTAAAAGGCCCATTGTACCGGTTAAAACCCGAGTTGAATGAAAATAATAAATACAATGGTACATCTCATTAATCGTAAGAACCTATTGATATATGCCAACATGTGATTACCCTTGTATTGTTAGATATTTAATATCAGTTAAGTTAGAGTGATGAAGTTCCATTACTCCAGTACAGCAGGTTGTTCCGATTAATTTGCAGTTTGTCATTGTTAATATCTTGTGTAACAACTCACTAATTAAAATATACTGGATAAGAACTTATTACTACTGATGTCTTAATCTGCCTCAATTCTAAACAACATTGCCATATAGGCAGTTAGTGTAGGTGGAGACTGGGAGACAAAAGATTGAAAGTAGGAGGGGATCTAGGAGAGACAAAATATTGAAAGTAGGAGGGGATCTAGGAGAGACAAAAGATTGAAAGTAGGAGGGGATCTAGGAGAGACAAAAGATTGAAAGTAGGAGGGGATCTAGGAGAGACAAAAGATTGAAAGTAGGAGGGGATCTAGGAGAGACAAAAGATTGAAAGTAGGAGGGGATCTAGGAGAACAATTATAGTCATACATTGTGTTAATTATGTAACTGCCCTATAAAGTCTTACTCAATAACCATGTTTACCAACATATTTGTTCAGGAAGGTTTCAGTCCTCTTTAAGTGGGTACATCTAAATTCATTCTCAAATATGTATACACAGATTATTTGTATTATGTCAAACAATTGATATACTAAAACAAAAACATTTAACTCTTGGAGACAGTGTTACAAATACAAGTGTCACCTAATCCAAATAAAATAACCAAATCATCACTTTACAATTAAATACACTGCTGGTGTCACATAACATTTAAATACACTGCTGGTGTCGCTTAACATTTAAATACACTGCTGATTTCACTTAACATTATTACACTGCTGATGTCACTTAACATTAATACACTGCTGGTGTCACTTAACATTTAAATACACTGCTGGTGTCACTTAACATTTAAATACACTGCTGATGTCACTTAACATTAATACACTGCTGGTGTCACTTAACATTTAAGTATATTGCTTGTGTCACTTAACATTTATACACTGCTGGTGTCATTTAACGTTTAAATACACTGCTGGTGTCATTTAACATTTAAATACACTGCTGGTGTCACTTAACATTTAAATAAACTGCTGGTGTCACTTAACATTAATACACTGCTGGTGTCACTTAACATTAATACACTGCTGGTGTCACTTTACATTAATACACTGCTGGTGTCACTTAACATTTAAATACTCTGCTGTTGTCATTTCACATTTAAATACACTGCTGGTGTCATTTCACATTTAAATACACTGCTGATGTCATTTCATAATGAAATACTCTGCTGATGTCATTTCACATTTAAATACACTGCTGGTGTCATTTCACATTTAAATACACTGCTGATGTCATTTCACATTTAAATACACTGCTGGTGTCACTTAACATTTAAGTATATTGCTTGTGTCACTAAACATGTATACACCATTGGTGTCACTTAACAATGAAATACTCTGCTGGTGTCCTTTAACATTTAAATACACTGCTGGTGTCACTTAACATTATTACACTGCTGATGTCACTTAACATTAATACACTGCTGATGTCATTTCACATTTAAATACACTGCTGGTGTCATTTCACATTTAAATACACTGCTGATGTCATTTCACATTTAAATACACTGCTGACAGCAGGTAACATGTAAAATCACTGCTGATTTCACCTTATATTTAAATACACTGCTTGTATATGTTATTATTTATAGACTTTCATTTCTAAACCAAATTAACAGCAATAATGTTATCTTTAAGGAGGCATGGAAGTCTAGTGGTAGGACACCGGGCTTGTGACTGAAGGGTTGCGAGTTTGAGTCACGGCACTGCACTGTGTTGTATCTTTGAGCAAGATACTTTACTTAACTTGTTCCAGTCTACTCAGCTGTAAAGGATTACGTGGTTGGGTAGTGCTAGAATTGTTGAATGCTAGCCGTGAGCGCCGAAATGGCAGCACCGGCTGTACTCTCCCCAGGGAGTTGAGAAAGATATTAGCTGGTTGCAAAGGCCCTATAACTACAGATAATAATTTATGAACTGCTTTGAGACGACCTACAAACTAGGTTGTGATAAAGCAGTATATAAGAACCTCAAATTGTTATTATTATTATTGTAATTATCTCATCAGATACTACTGAATAATAAGTCTATGATGGTTTCTGTTTACAAATGGTTTTAAAATGCATTTTCTGAGCAAATGAAAAGGTTAAAACATTTCTAATGAAAACATAAAGTTGTTCACATGCTACAGTCTATCACCTACCTCAGAATTGAAGCCAATAAATAAGGACTATTTGTAACCATATGTTCTAGCAAAGTTAAAACCATACGCCTGTTTTATAAACTCAGTCCATGTAAAAATCTATACAAAAGTTTGCCTATAAAACAAACTAATAAAACAAAACAAACACACAAAAACACACACATTTACCCTCATACATATAACATAGTCTATCTCCCGTACCAGTATGACACAAACAGACACATTATATATGGTATCACTGTCACACATCCTACAGTGTTAGAAGATCTGTAATTGTCTTACATTAGAACTTTCATATCAGATTCAAATTGTCATGTCAAGCATTCCTAATTTGGCAATTTTCATAACAATCAACCACAAGTCAGAAAAATGTCTTGTTAATAGTTACCTTGGATTCACTCCAGCTGTTTACCTGCTGTGATATACACTGTCAATTTATCTGGTTATGTACCCAACATCACACACAATGATGATGTTAAATTCTAATGCTTAAGGTGTAACAACTGGCTGTGATCACTTCACTTCAGTATACAACATCTAGTTGTCAATCCTGGCTGTGATCAACTGATGACTTCAGTATACAACACCTAGTTGTCAATCATGGCTGTGATCAACTGACTTCAGTATACAACATCTAGTTGTCAATCCTGGCTGTGTTCAACTGATTTCAGTATACAACATCTAGTTGTCAATCCTAGTTGTGATCAACTGACTTCAGTATACAACATCTAGTTGTCAATCTTGGCTGTGATCAACTGACTTCAGTATAAAATATCTAGTTGTCAATCCTGGCTGTGTTCAACTCACTTCAGTATACAACATCTAGTTGTCAATCCTGGCTGTGTTCAACTCACTTCAGTATACAACATCTAGTTGTCAATCCAGGCTGTGTTTATCAGATTTAAGTATACAACATCTAGTTGTCAATCCTGGCTGTGATCAACTGACTTCAGTATACAACATATAGTTGTCAATCCAGGCTGTGTTTATCTGATTTCAGTATACAACAGCTAGTTGTCAATCCTGGCTGTGATCAACTGACTTCAGTATAAAATATCTAGTTGTCAATCCTGGCTGTGTTCAACTGACTTCAGTATACAACATCTAGTTGTCAATCCAGACTGTGTTTATCTGATTTCAGTATACAACATCTAGTTGTCAATCCTGGCTGTGATCAACTGACTTCAGTTTAAAATATCTAGTTGTCAATCCTGGCTGTCTTCAACTGACTTCAGTATACAACATCTTGTTGTCAATCCAGGCTGTGTTTATCTGATTTCAGTATACATCATCTAGTTGTCATTTCTGGCTGTGTTCGACTGACTTTAGTATACAACATCTAGTTGTCAATTCTGTCTGTCTTCGACTGACTTCAGTATACAACATCTAGTTGTCAATCCTGGCTGTGATCAACTGACTTCAGCATACAACATCTAGTTGTCAATCCTAGGTATCATCAATCTACCTCTAGTTTTCATCACTTCATTCTGTTGATTGTTCCACATTAACTATAACAGCATTTATCACACCAACTCTAGCACCTGAGAAATAAGAATATAATTATTCAGTGTGTATATAATACATGTACATTTCTATGTAATTTTAATAGGGCTACTGTGTATGTATGATAATTCAAACAGTCAGACAATATTTTGTGTTATTGTTATCACAATTGTAGTCCTTTAAGAATTGCAAACATTTCTTCTGTACTGCTACATATATATATTGGTGGGCTTATCACCAGGCATGGGCTTAATTATTTTGGGGATTAATAGGGTAACTACAGAAATGGGGTAAATCAGTGATACCTTTAAACTGCTACTCCACTGTTATACTGTCACATTAAAATAACATAGTTTTTTTTATATCATATTGCATCTTTTGTAACAATTAATTTGGTAAAATCAATGTTCGTCAACTCAGCCGCCAACAATAGTTGATGAGGGCCAGTTAACCTATGAATTATCAGATGTATTTTACATTCTTCATTACTCAATAAAGTAAAATTCATAAAAACACCTACTGACAAAGTTTGGTCAAAGTGAGAACCATACTGTTCAGAAACCAATGTACTATATGTAATCATGGATGTGATGAGAATAGTATATACAGAAACATGGGGCCTGAAAAAGGCCAGTGACTTGATCAAGCTTAACCCGATGACTTACTTTGACCGTTCCCTGACTGTTGGCTGCTACTATCACATTGGAGCCCTGTAAATGACAAAGCACACTTTAGATCTTTGCAAGTTTATGTAATCTAACACATGTTATGTGACACAAAATGTCCTATCAAAAACTAAGGTAATTTAAGGATGTACCTCCATGTGTGTTGGGTATGCATGCATGTGTGTTTATTATGCAAGTTACTTATAAATTTTACAAATTTGCAGTATGAAAATATGTTGTATCCTTGGAAATATTTGCCTGGTGAAATATTTTCTCACTGGTAATTTCGCTTTTCACATTAGAAAAATATGTTCTTTGAGGGTGAAAAGTTAACTGTGGTAAATTAAAGTACACACACCACTTCAATGAATTCATGTTCAGGAAAATAAGTGGTCCCTGAAGTTAGAGAGAACACTGACACATCATGTACTGGTGTCAACATTTCACATGGCAGGACATTCATTTAGGCAGCGTCCCACAGCCATTCTAGCTAAAATATATTCAGTTGCAGTTATTAGATTGAAGGAATTGAAGGAAGAGATCGTTTAAACTTGTCACAAAATTAAATACTTACTGGTCGCCAGGCAACAGCACTAACAAACTCATTGATTTCCTCCTCTTTCTTGTCCTTTTCCTGTAACAGATGGATAACTATGCAGTACTTTTGTTGGACAGACAACTAACAAACTTTTCAGTACAGTCTTAGGATGGGAAATAACAAATGGACAATTATGCATAACTTTTCTAGGTCAGAACTAACAAATGGACAACATTACACTTTTCCAGGGCAGGAATTTACAAAATTGACAACTATATAGAAAAGCCCTAGGAAAGGAAAAAAAGAGAAACTTTGAAGAATTATGAATTATGAATAAAATTCTCAAAACAACATAGATTTGTCTTCCATGTTTTAGACACACCTAGTAATGGAACTGCTAAAACATGGAGAGCATTGCCACTCCTCAAACCTGGTGTTTCCCGCGACAAAACACTGGAGATGATATATTTCTATTAAGCTGTGAAATGCTTCATACAGCTTTCAATGTAAATGTGGATGACAAATTGAAATGATAAATTTACAAAAAGTGTTTTATTTTGGTCAAATTGAACCATATTGAATATTCAAGTTCATATTTAGTTATGAATGCTATCTGAACGTTGTTTAATGCTTATTCACCTGTTTTGGGAATTATTTGGTATGATAGAAGTACAGGTCAGCATATTGTAGGAATTGCTTATATATTTGTTGAATAAAGAAAACAGCCATCTGCTTGTGGAAATAAGTGGGCTACAACGATAAGATGCCAACAAATGTCTCGTAACATTCAGAACTCACAAGAATAGAACCTCCTTTATATATGATTGCACTGGCATACAATGTATAGAGTAATTAATATATAGCTATCTAACTAAAAACCACAACATTATTATATAGGACCAGAACTGACAATGGACTTTGAAAGGAATTTACTTTTTCCAAACAGCAAAAACATCAATAGACCTGCAATTTTCCAGGTTGTTACTAGCTTAACTTACCAAAGCACTGCGGACTGTGTCAAACTTAAAGGTGAGTAGTTGTTTAGACAGGCCCTTAACTTACCAAAGCACTGCGGACTGTGTCAAATTTAAAGGTGAGTAGTTGTTTAGACAGGCCCTTATAATACACATACAGAGAATTATTCTCACTTCCTACAAATAGAAAAGATTAAGATTATTGATAAAACAAGAGATTTCGGTATTTGTGATTAAGAGACAGACCAAAACTACACACTTGGGAAGACATGTGACACAATATATCAATGATGTGAATCAAACAGATGAATAGCTCCTTACTTCATATTAATGCAAATAATTAATATCATCTCGTTAATAAATAATGGAAAGTAAAGTTTATTGAGCTGTGCATAGCCTTGATGGAGATTCTTCAGGTAAAAAGTTAACTTAAAACACGAGTAACCTCAGTGAAATGAAATAATCATAATTAATGTACTGTAATCAGCTATATTTTAAGATACGGTTATTTTTGGGCTAATTCCTGAGGACAGATTATTGCTATTTCAGCAAATTATTTAGGCATAACTAAACAGAGAGCTTCATATCTGTTCTTGTAAAAAAATTGAATTCAAATACTTTAAAGTTGTTTTATAAGTCATTTGAGACAAAGCCCCCCAAACGGTAACATCAAAAGTAAGGTGATTATAAAGTGATTAACAGTACTGACCAACACATTAACACTGAATAACACTTGTGTTATTTGGGTATATGTATTTAGAAATATATTATACTGCCTGAAAAAATTGCAGATTATATTTCAGTCATTTCACTGTCTTTCTGATAGGGTTAGTTAGAGCTAGGGCTAGTTATAGCAGTCTATAAATTGTATTTCACAAAATTCAAATCAGAAAAAGTTGCTACATGAATGAAACTGCCAAAGATTTGACAAGATCTGCAAATTCAAGTGCTGTATAGAACATAAAAACTTCATGGATAATTTAGTTTATTCCACACTTCATTCCAATGCATCTGTTCATAAAAAACTTGTGAAAAGGAGTGGGTAGGTTTCCAATGACAAATAACCTACCACAAGCAACGTAGTCTCCATCTGTAGCCAAACCCACAAAGTTTTTCTCGTTAATGTGCCCTTTAAATGTCTGTAGGTTTGTGGGCTTTTTTATATTCCACAGCTTAAGTTGGCTGTCTGTGGACCTGCAAGTAAATATATGTCCATGTAATAAAGAATAATGTTTCAAGGGACAGAAATTATACATTGCTTTCTAGAAACTAAATACACCCATCTACAGTGCTACAGAGTAAGGGGATATAGAGGTTTCCCAACAAGTGGTGGAGGGTTATCATGCTTTCTAACTGTTAGTTAATTTTAAATTGTGTTAACCTCTCGTCTGTAGACAATTTGAAAAGTAATTAGCTGGAGTCAGATAAACATATTAATCAACCATCACAAGTTTGGGGACCTTTTTCTCCCACAACAATAAGATATAATATCTAAAAAAACGTCCTCTTGGGAACACATCACTCCTGTTTTTGAGCGGGGAAACAATTGCTGTAAGCTATGATGTCACAATGGAAGATTACGTCGCGGAGTATTGTTACTTGACCTCATAATTAGAAGTCTGACTAATGAAATAATGTCCAGCGTGTTACCCAGTAGTGTTTACCAACTCCTTGTAGGTTTATCCTATGAGTTGGAAGAGGAGAAAACCAATAAAGATAGTGGCTGTGGGAGAACACCACTGTCACACACACAGTCTAAACAGGATCACTGAGAAAACACTAAACAGGATCACTGAGAAAACACTAAACATGATCATTGAGAAAACACTAAACAGGATCACTGAGAAAACACTAAACAGGATCACTGACAAAACACTAAACAGGATCACTGAGAAAACACAAAACAGGATCTCTGAGAAACACAAAACAGGATCACTGAGAAAACAAAAACAGGATCACTGAGAAAACACAAAACAGGATCACTGAGAAACACAAAACAGGATCACTGAGAAAACCCAAAACAGGATCACTGAGAATACACTAAACAGGATCACTGAGAAAACACTAAAGATGATCATTGAGAGAACACTAAACAGGATCACTGAGAAAACACCAAACAGGATCACTGAGAAAACACAAAACAGGATCCCTGAGAAACACAAAACAGGATCACTGAGAAAACACGTTTTTGTTACCCCTGAAATATGATATCAGTTTTTATCACCCATATATCTCTGCATATGGTAGCAGGATCCAAGAGAAAAATAAACAGAGACAAACAAGATTTTTAAAATTTGACAAAATGCTGTGGTAAAAAAGAACAAGGGAGGTATTAACATTGCAACGTTTTCAGAAAATATATTTCAATACCATTAGTGCCTTCAGAGTCAGCTTGGAATGATGGAAGTTTGATAGCATTGTATGTAAACCAGACATAATGTTTTACCTATAGCCTGCTATACTTCTCTTTGTTACTGATTAGAGGTTTACAACTGACCTTGACTAAGACTGGTTATTGTGTCCGACTTAGTAAATGTCACATCTCTGACACCACCATTAACATAGTTTCAATATAAATGTTTAACCTGTTGCTTATGTTAATTATCTGCTTTACAATACCATTCATTTACCACTTGACTATAATTGCCTTCAATGTAAAGCACTATCATAGTGGATTTCATTAAAGAGTTCCAATAAATCACCTTCAGTAGCCAAAACAGACGACATGATTTGGAGGGCTATATTGAGCTAATCTTTGACAGTGAGTTAATGATGTAATGGCATACTGTTACTCTGCGACTTCAAATTATTATATTCAAAACATTGCCATGGATGATAAGTAGCGAAGTTCAATCAGATATAGCTAATGGGCATGACAGCACTACTCTGAAATTTAAATAAATATTCACCTGAGAATTAGTTTTTTTGTATGGTATATATTTCGTGGAATGTTTCAATCCAGAAAACAGATGAAATTTAATGTCATTCAAATATTTCTGCATTACAGTAGTTCTTGAGTTGTCTCCCTCTATTTTCCGACATAACTCTAACAGGCCTTGGTGTTAATACTTACGCTGATACTATTTCTTTGGTGTTTAAAAATTTGGTGTAAGACACAGCCTTTCTGTGGCCCTTAAAGACCATCACAGCCTGTTTAGTGTTCCGTAAATCGTAGTAGTGTACACAATGATCTGGAAAGATAAACATTCTTGAAATGATAAAGAAATATGGTTATGACATGTTTTATATGATATCACTAGGAATTTCAAACTGTTTCAAACTTTTCTGTCCATTATAACATTAAAAAATACTTGTAATTTTAGCAAAGATGTTATTGGTCTTTTACGTTGCATAAAATTGGTGAAATTGTGAAATCCTCTGTAATGATTTATTTTGTTTTATCTAGCTAAAATCATTCCTTTCACTTGATGGCCATTTCCTCCACCAGTCATTTGACCAAAGTAGGCCAAAGGCTGACAAATCAAGTCCTTATTGATGACTTTTGTAAAAACTAATATGACAAACACCATTTTATTAATATTACAGATCAGTATGTTATATGGTTCCAGTCTTGTTCAGTTCTTGTGTATTCTAGAAACCAGTTGTTTCATTTTGAAAAAATGATGAGTACTTGATATGTTTTGGTTACAAGTTGAATATGAGTTAATATGGAAACAGATACAAAAAAAATGTACCTCATTACCCATAATAGACAATCTCAAAACAACATCTTTCTTATTAGCAAAAGCAGGTAAACAAAAACAATCAATGCGATTGAAAGCATGATGTTTGCATCCTAACTGTGTTTACCGAGGGAACGACTATTGAAGAAAGGATTTACCTGCTGTGGCAGAACCAAAGGCTAGGGGGTAGTGACTATCTTAGAAGATCTTACATGCAGCACCAAAAGCCAGGTGGTAGTTACTATCTTAGAAGATCTTACCTGCAGCACTAAAAGCCAAGTGGTAGTGACTATCTTAGAAGATCTTACCTGCAGCACCAGAAGCCAGGTGGTAGTGACTATCTTAGAAGATCTTACCTGCAGCACCAAAGGCTAGGTGGTAGTGACCATCTTAGAAGATCTTACCTGCAGCACTAAAAGCCAAGTGGTAGCGACCATCTTAGAAGATCTTACCTGCAGAACCAAAGGCCGGTGGTAGCGACCATCTTAGAATATATAACCTGCAGCACTAAAAGCCAGGTGGTAGCGACCATCTTAGAATATCTTACCTGCAGAACCGAAGGCCAGGTGGTAGTGACTATCTTAGAATATATAACCTGCAGCACTAAAAGCCAGGTGGTAGCGACCATCTTAGAATATCTTACCTGCAGAACCGAAGGCCAGGTGGTAGCGACTATCTGGGTTGAACTTGACACAACACACATTGGCTTTAGCCTCCAGACAGGCTATAGAGTGGTCAGCATTGGTTGACCACAACTTCACTGTAAACAGATAGAAAACAGTGTGTGAGGCTGTAAACAATGTCTTACCTATGCAGTGCTATCATAAAGGTCAACATATTATGTTTATTGGCTATTAAATATACAGAAACCATTATTGATTATTATGTTCAAGAAGCAAAATACGTTGATATAAAATTTAAGTGGTTTCAAGCTTTTTCTTTGTAAGCCTGTTTTACTGTACAGCCAATCTGACTGTTCCCACAACTGTTTGAGTGGTCTTTAAGGTGAACTTTCACAATTAGCCATTAAAAATCAGCATTTGTTTTACTTTTAATCACATCTAACCTTTGGCATCATCAGACCCAGACGCTAAAAGCTTGGGATCCATTCTGTTAAAGTCAACACTCCAGCAACGCTTTTCGTGCTCCTAAAGAATTCAAACAAACTACTTGATGATTAGTGTTACAATTACATGCACATCATTCATGTCCTTCACACAATCATAACCTGTTACACATTGCTCTAGTATTGTGACAATGGTTGACCACGACACAAACTGCTCTCCCACATGACATGACATTTTGTCCCCAATAAAGATGAGACGTCATGGAAATGTAACATTCTTTGTGAATTATTGTTTGTTTATATAAAGGGTAACATATCAAAGCACACATTGAAACATTTAGAAAACTTCAGATTTTGTCAAACATTTTTTTTGTGCATTGTTTCTTGTTGATCAAAGTAGAGTAAACACATTTATTCACCAGCATGATATCAAAATTGATGTTACACATAAATACCTCATGACACACAGTTATCAGTAGGCTTATCATATCATCTAATGTTCATTCCTTCAGGTCATAACCAACTATTTCAACAAATCACACCACTTCAGATGTAAGCTGGCATGTCGATACATACCCCAGTATACTGGACACTTTAATTTAACTGTTTTAGGTATTCATGTTACATCTCTTGAATACTACATCCTACCTGGAAGATCTTTGACTTTTGGCCGGAGAAAGCATCCCACAGGGTGATTGTGCCCTCATAATCAGAACTGGCCAGCATGTTCTTGTGATATGCACTCCAAGTCACACAACTACAGGTAAATCACAACATCATACAATTACGCACTTGTTTGTAGGGCTAACCAAATCCCCTCTTTCAACAATGCTTCCGGCCAGCGTCTGTATAACACTTTATTACTGAACAAAACTTAAGGTCACTTATAAAACTCTTCAGCCCAATTCCCCAAATTCATAACAATTGTATGACTTCATGTCAACATTGCAATTGCATCTTCATCACGTCAACAATACATTGAGGTGAAATGGGAAATCTCAACCCTCAGAGAAAGATTCTTAAGCTGCAAAACACTTGGCAAGCCTCTTGTCTGGCAACTTAAAAATCTTCTCCCTCAGGTTGAGATTAATAGAATCTCTCACCCCCTTGGGGGTGAGATAGGGGAATCTCAACCCGAGGGGGGAGGTTCTTATGTTGCAAAACACAAGGCTTTTTAATTAAAGGGGGTGAATGATTCTCTTTCTCTTACCCTGTTCTCCCAATGTGTATCATATACACAATGTAATGACAACGTTACATGCTAAATTCAGGGTTGACGTGACGTTGATGGATTGTTGACGTGACGTCATTGTATTGTTGAAGTGAAGTCATACCATTGTTATGAATAGGGGAATCCCCCCGTCTCAACCCTAGGGTGAGACAAGGAAATCTCACACCGGTAGAAGTGCGGATACACCTGTCCAGGTTAAGAGAAACCCTTATCTCACCCCTAATGGGGTAAAAGATACTATTGAACTTTCTCACTATCAGACTACACCTGTCTTTTGAGCTGGTACATGTTAACTTTACCTGATCTTTTTATGGAGTATAATTTGTTTACGATACTGCGACCAATCAATATTCAACTGGCTACTTTTGAAAATCAACCATCTCGGTTGCAAATTTAGTGTGATTACATTGTAGAAATTACCTGATTTTAGAGTTGCACACCATCTCATTGACTGGGTAGTGAATGTCAACGACATCTTTTATAACATTGCAGTATTCAAACACCTGTAAAATAAACAGAAGTTTCTACTGAAAGTATACTGGTTGTATGTGAAATTAGAATCCTAACTGCCAATCTGTCACAATGTTAATTGCTGCATTAAGTTGTGGTTATTTTACAAATACCACCAATGCCATGAACTTGTGTATTACTATGCCTCGGATTTTATCTTTGGTGATGACATTACCACCAAAAGAGGGTGATTAATTTAACAAAGATTATCAAAATGTCAAAATGCATAATAATACCACTACAACTTTTCGAGGTTTAATAATAAAAATAATTGTAATATACAACATTTATATAGCGCCCTATATAATTTGTAAAATTACTCTAAAGTGATTTAGAGTAATTGTGTTGTTGGACTAGAAAATTCCAAACTGATAACATTCTGCCAATACCGTAACAACACCTACATTGATACAGTGCCAATACCGTAACAATACCTACATTGATACAGTGCCAATACCGTAACAACACCTGCATTGATACAGTGCCAATACCGTAACAACACTTACATTGATACAGTGCCAATACCATAACAACACCGACATTGATACAGTGCCAATACCGTAACAACACCTACATTGATACAGAAAACTGTATGATTTAGTGTAACAGTCCTTCTTACCTTGATACGCTTCGTCACACCCGCTATAGCAAAATAATCACAGTCTCTGTCAAACTCAATGCTGAAACATAAACTTATACTTTCACAGTTGTAGGCATCCTGGAAATAAATGGTCCAAGTATTTTGTACTCATGCAATAATGACAAAAATAAACATTTGTCTCAAATACTCAGCAGTAACAAATATTAATGCATTCCATTTTCCAACACTCAACAATAACAAATCATCACAACTTTGGGAAATGACTTGATGACTACATAATATGTACTGTACAGGTATACAGGTCGTACCCCAGTTAATTATACTTGATGAGTCACTTCAGGGAAACACAAACTAATTTAACAACCAGAGCAAGTGCACAAGACAAGAAGAACAGACATTAGGCTGTTTGTGTATATGTACCTGGATACTATACTGGAGCCACTGTAGAAGTCACTGGCGTAGCTGAGTGTGGCTAGGGGCCTAAAGGAACTAAATCTGGTGAACTTTGAAAGACTTTCCGTAAACTCTCCAAGTCCTTCTTCATTTTCCCCTCCAGCTGATAGATAAAATTGGCAATTCATTTTCATGACCAGTAAAACCTGATATTCAAGAACAGTAATACAGTACATGCAATATATATTTAAAAAAAATTGCAGTAAAAATGTAAGCCTTGGAAACAGACTGTATTCATATTTTACTGGTAATTAGTTGAGAAAATCTTTTACACTCAAGGGTAGCTGACATTGTGAACTCACTTAGTATTTCCCTCTGTCTTACAGAGAAGTAACACTGCTCCAGGTCATCAAAGTGTTGGCTGACCTTCTTCTTCCTAGCTGCCATCGTCGTATTTAACCACTTGCCAGCCTGTAGGTGACAAGTCATAAATAGGTTTGTCATACATACTACATTTGATGCTGTAAACATAATGTATTACTTGACTGATCAGCATCTTGTCTACAGTTCCAAGTCTACCTAATCCAATCACTTGTCTTATTGGTTCTGTTAGTTTAACAACTTTCACATATTGATGCTGCACACAAGTATACTGAACAAAAACGACACTACTGTTTAACAAAATTTGCTGAAATAGACACAAATGTAAACTCTCAGACAGATTAACTGCTTTATTAATGGGGAATTCAACATAAGAGTGGGATAAATAGACCTTCACATCTCCATTTCAGTGGGAAAATAGTCAGAATACAAGGTATATTAATTGAGGGAAAATGTGTCTAACTTAAGGTCTAGCCCATTATCATCCTGTTGTTTAACTGTACTTGGTACCCTGATTACAGCTCTCCTGACTGTCTTTGATGGTGAGAGAGGCGACAAGGTATGGAGAAGGTTGCTCACATTTCTGTAACCTCATTTCTGTCACTACTGAAGCTTTTCATCACTGTCTTAGTCAGAGTGAGAACTGACAATAAGGAGCGGAGAGTTACTTCAGGATTGTCTATGTCAGAGTTAGGAGTGACAATCAGAGATGGAGGGAGTTATTCACTTTTTTTGCTACCTCTGAATGATTTCCATGTAGGTAAGATTTGTAGTGAGAAGTGACAAAAAGGGAAGGAAAGTGTTACGTACATTTTTGCTGCCATTGAAGCCTTCCTGACTGCCCATGTCAGAGTCCGAGGCTATGGAGGGATCAAACCCGTTGGGCACCAAATGGTCCTGGATAAATAATGAAGGTCTTTTTAGACAAGGATTTATCATGCATCAAAATAATGTATTTACACTGTAACCCTCTTATGAATGAAAGTATTACTCCCATTCAAATGTTCACACTTGACTGATAAAATACCTATTCCACACGTGAGAGTGAGGGCATTAAATATTTCTGAGTCAGCAGTATTCATTTTATCATTAGTGAAATTTCAATATTAAACAAAGGATTCCAATTTAACATGGTATGAACTATTGTTCTTGTTGTCCAAATTTTTGTTTACTATTAGATCACAAAACAAAAATGTGATGATTAAGTATTAAACAAATATGGTAGATGAAATGGATGCTACAATCATAGTTTGCATATAATCAGTTTGTAACTATTGGACTTGACATCAGGCATGACAACATACACGGCCCAATATCATGTCAACCTTCATTTGTAGCTTGATTTCATGTCAACCTTCATTTGTAGCTTGATTTAATGTGAACCTTCATTTGAAGCTTGATCTCATATCAAACTTCATTTGAAGCTTGATCTAATGTCAACCTTCATTTGTAGCTTGAACTAATTTCAACCTTCATTTGAAGCTTGATCTGATGTCAGCCTTCATTTTAAGCTTGATCTAATGTCAACCTTCATTTGAAGCTTGAACTAATGTCAACCTTCATTTGAAGCTGGACCTCATGTTAATCTTCATTAGTAAAGGAAATATAGCTGTTTGATGATATGTCCAGTGGTTTATTAATTTTATCAGTATATGGTAGCGCTGTTATACGTGTTACATATAAAGAAGGATTAATTACATTTTACAGACAAACTTTAAATTATGATCTTTAATCAATACAGGTAATAGTGGTCTAACACTATGCCACTCATTAAACGGAGAGATATAGCAAAGCCGGGATTGTATTATCTGAATCCAAATTAACTACGTTCCTTACAACTTGAAGGATTTAATAGAAAGCCTTTTTCCCTCTCTCACAAAATAGTACTTACTGGTGTAAAGGGATATTTCCTTCTGTGTTCTGAGATCATCATCTGTAGAAGTAATAATAACTAAGTTTATTGCATAAAACATAAACAATACTAAAAAAAAATTCACATATAGAAATATTTCTTCTGCTGTCGTGAAACAGGTAAGCATTGTAGGCATATAAGTGATTGATAATATTACAATACCATGAGTTTCAATTATTCCAGAAAGATATCTCACCTCTACTTTTTTGGTGTCTTCATCAATAACAGCAAGTTCTCTCGTTAATTGGTCTATATGCTAAAAGATAGATACAAATATTGGGTACATATGCACCGATCATAAAACAGACATTAGGTACAGGTGACAATTTGAATTTTACCTGCACCCCTATATATACTCAAGTACAGGTATAACAACCTATTGGTAATGATGTTGGACACTTTATAAAAAGTTAAAAAATAACCAGTACATATATCACAATTAAAATTTGGGTTTTAGTCTAATCACAGGAACAGACCCTACACTTATAATAAAAATCCTTTCTTATCATATAAAGCGCTTCATCTCAGATATATATATATGGCAATGTGTACAGACTTCACAATACTTGTCTTGTACTATTCCTCATAAGTTAATGTTCAAATTAACTTGTTTGTCATACTCATTATTTTGGGCTGTGTAGCTATGTAATGGAGTGGGCAACACAAAAGAAATTATGGAAGCTACAAAGTATTTCAAGGATCATAACCACTGGACACCACAGATATCAAATGAGCATCAGAAGTTTGGCTTGGAAAAAGATGTCCAGTTTGAAAAGGAGGACTTTGCAATGTATTTACTTTATAGGACCCCCAAACATAGGAGATAGAGTGTTAAATGATAAAACAAATAGTTCTGATCCATCATCGAAGATCTTTTAATCAGATCTAACTTGGCATACATTTCTAGTTGTGATAGTGGTGATTGAAGTGGGTTTTACTGTTTTGTCTCTCCAAAGAAATATGATGTGTCAATTTCAATCGTCATGCAGCACACAATCAACCATTAATTGCTACTAATACATACATGGCTTAATAGGAATCAACATAATGCCCTGTTCAACAGCACACTGAAAAACATCATTATGACTTTAGCTTGAGAAGTTACATTGTACACCTGTCAAGCACTATACATAAAATGCCCTTGAGATGGAAGTTAGTTGTGCACCCTGTCGAGGTGTTATGCCGTTTCAATCCAATATCTATAGCTATTTAAATGTTAGGTTCAGACAGAAATTGAACAGCTGACATTTAGTTTCAGTTTGATATGATACAAATCTGACGGAGTACATAAATTACACTGTAATGAATATGTGTTCAGCCATTAATAAGTTATGACCTAGATGTAGGTAAACAGATGAACAGACATTGTACAAACATATATAGCCCCGCAGTTTTTCCGGTCTTCAAAAACTCTCTTACCTCTTGTTTCTTTAAACGGATTTGTTGTAAAAATTCTTTCAATATAAGGTTTTGTGCCAAAGTGCCATCCTGAAAATAGACAGTATACAATAAGTGCACAATAATCAGTGTTATTGATTTTTTTTATAATGTTTTCTGTTCCTGCCATTAAAGTTTGGATTACATGGCCTATTTACTGTTATCAGTTGTAAGTTTTACCTTGCTAAATAAAATAAAAATATTGCCAATTGCTGAAGCTGAATTTCCCCCATCCAACCGCTATAAAGATAAAAATCAAACTGAAACAAATATTTCCAATTTAGATAATTAATATCCTTAAATAGATTACAGGGCATGCATTTAAGCCATTCCCATATAGTTTTAAGCACAGAACTTGGAATAGACAGCAAACATTTATTCAAGATGCCCATTTCACATATACACCGAGATCCCATTTACATCACAACCTTTTCAGTATCACTGACACCATATGCTATTAAGGTAACAGTTAATTATAATAATTTCTTGGGTTCATACCTAGAAGAACATCTGGTAAAGATGTTCAATACCCAACACCAGGGTCAACCCTTTTTCATATTTGTGTTCTTGCTATGAAAATGAATTACATTTGCTTGAAAAAATGTAAAACTGATCTGTTCTGCCAGTTATAAAGTTGATGTTAACAGATAAATATCTGTCATTGTAACTGAATTATGAATCTCCCCAAAGCTCCCTCGGTGAAGCAACAACCAATACATTCATATAGACATACAAAGCTAACAACTGGTTTATTTACTGTGGGATGAGAAACAATATTTTAACTGTTACTATATACACAGAAAACCACTTCATTTAGTGGTCCTGTTCTCATCAAATTGCTCAGTATTTCACTCTTATACATCATTCAGTTTCCGAGTAAGCTGATTACAGGTACTTAGTCCCTCCTTACCGCCTCTAACAACTGTTTTTTGTGGTGTAGTAAGGACAGCAGCTGATTGACATGGGGAAGGTCAAGGTTGTCCTCTGTCACAAGCTCACAGAGGTCAGAGCCAACTCCCGGAGAATTCTGTAAGAAGTAAAACAGCCTGTACTTAATCTGGGTCAAGTAAGCTAGCTAATAAGTGTACATCATAAGGCAGATATCATTACCTGTTATATAATTCTACACACATCAACGCTGATCAGTATCCTATATAATAGGGATATAAACTCACTTTGAAGTACATTCTGTAATGCTTCACTTATTATCTTTTTAATTCAGCAACTGGAACATTTTTTTCATAATACAAGAAAACTAATCCCAAACCCATCCTTCATGATAATGAAAATGTCTTACACTAAGAAAAATAATGTTAACAGCTGCAGTTATATTTGGTCTATTTTACTGAACATTAATGCATGTAATGTAATAAATTTGAATAATGTCACACAGTCATAGTCTAAAATATTTATTTTTCATTATAGAAATCTTAACGTATGGAATATGATTTGAAATAATACATACAGCACAGAAATGGAACTGTACTTTTTTTTTTGAAATACCATAAAACATATAGTGTTTTATATGAACATAAGCAAAACCAAATGCAAGGGACTGCAATGTTTTACAGATCTGTCCTATACTTCTATATGTGTAACCAATCACATACATACACAATACATCTCCAGCACACACGCATAGGGAGATATTAGCCAGGTAGCATAGGACTAGTAGTTAGCGCCTGATAAGGCAGCTCCTGCGAATTCCTCACATATTGTATATCCTAATTGTATTAATTTTATATCTATGTACTGTAAAGTGCTTTAGAGTGGCTTATGTTAGCTAGAGCGCTATATCAAATGTTGTATATTATTATGAGACGCTAATTTTGAAAATGCTAGCACTATCACTGATACACATGTACACAGTACCTGTTGGTCCATTTTCATCTTCTTTTCATCCAGCCTCCCCCTGTGTTTCAGCACCAGTTCATTTACTGTAAACAAACAGACATACAAGGGTCAACTTATTTACTCAATGGAAACAATCAAGTCGTATACTGTAAATCAAGAACTTATTATTTGTTTTTACTGTAATTAGGCAGCCAAATCACATATTTACTCCAAACTGTAGCCATATATGCTATCAGTTCATTTATTGCAGACAAATAAACTGTTGATTTACTGTGAACAAAGTGTCAAACAATCAGCACATTTATAATTTACTGATCATCATGAGGCAGACATCCTGAAAACTGAAAAACCAGCAAAATAGACAAATAATGTTTTTACTATATATAGACTGAGTGACAGACAACCAGATAATTTATTATCTACTGTAGACAGATGAAAAACAATCAGTTAATGTATTGAAGATTTTTTTTTAATATGAATTCGATCATTTTACAACTGAAGACAAACAACAAGCTTGTCTGAATAGAAATACAACACAAGTAATTTAATTGTAATTTAAGGAAATACTTTTCATGCAATATCCTTATTATCTGTAATTATACATATTTATACAAAAGGATTAAGAAATCTATTAATTTTGTTCTCACAGCTTAAGATACATGTATAAGATTTTAATGACAATGTATTTCAATAACACTTCATTTCCATGTATTACATAGAATCGAGGTCCAACAGGCCATGGTCAGGCAGTTAGAAGTATATATGTTTAAGACCACTGAATTTTGACTATTCCGATATATTGTGTGCATACCAGAAATGTAGTAGTGTATACCATTACTTACCGGTACATGTATACAATACACATCACTGGAACATCATTTCCCAGTGAATATTGTCCTTTAAATGAATCACTGATAACACTTTATCTCTATTAGAACTAGAAATCAGTTGTTTGACATTAAGTTTGTTACAGCTGTTGGTGACAGACAGCTGAGCGTTTGGGAAAAGTTTGACATTTACAGTAGCATGTTAAGTAGTGTTTATCACACTATATAGATCTAGCATACAGCTGTATCTCTTTCCTATATATTACACATAACATCAAATCAAGAAATAAAAAGTCTAGGAGGTTTCTGTATCACCCACCATTTATTTAAATGGTGCCACTAGCAAACTTCGGCTTTTAATATTCAAATGCTGGAGAAGAAGTCTTCGGAGTTTTCAACACTTTTGATCACTGTGACCTTGAAAATTTGTCAAAGTAATTTATTATGAAATTGGATAGGCAAACAAAGCCCTTCAGGCTATCAAGCTACCGGGTACATACAAATCATCAGGGTTCCAGCCTTGCAGTTTGTTGGAGAAGACTCAAATTTTCAACACTTTATGACCATGAGCATATAGGGTGATGTACTCACATGTGTCAGCACATTGACATTAACTGTACGTTTTTAATACTTTTGATCCCTGTGACCTGGAAAGTCATCACTCAAGATTTCACTTCTTTCATCTTGAAAGTGGGTAAATTGGTCAAATCTTGTAGTACTTTGTCCATATCTAAGCTAGGGGATAAATACCATCACTTGCACCGTCATTGTTCTTTGAAAGAATTTTAAGTTTACACATTTGACCCATATTACATTGAAAGCGGTCAAGATCTTTCATTTAAACATATTTGTTAGCAATTGTCTACAACACAGTAATCCATATAAATGTAACAGGAAAGAGAATAGTGTGCTTCCACCGGGGAACGAATCCTCGATCTCCAGGTTCCTAGCTAGTCGGACACTCTACCACTGATCATGAGCTAAAGGGAAATTCCCTTTAGCTCGAAGCTAGAAGGCGACCTTAACCTATGTACAATTAAAACCTGCAACATAAAGAACCCTCACTTTAGGCTTTATGGGTCTCAATGCGAGAAATGAAAAAAATAACAAATATGAAAAGAAAAGTTTGTCCAGGTCCACATACCAGTGAAGTTAGGAAAGAGCTGCTGGATGCTGTCGATGACAAAGTTACACTTTGGACATCTGTTACTCTGCTCCAGGCTCTGTTTTATACACTTGTAGCTATAAAATAAATCATTCCAGTTATCACTTTTAGCTACACTGAATGTTACTGATATTGATATTATAAACTTCTTACATGTTACATGTATGTATTTAACACAATTTTATTTTCACAACTTCAACCATAGATGATAAACAACTTACCAGAATGTGTGCCCACATTTTGTCATATGAGCTTCTTCTATCAGGTCAAAACAAATTGGACTGAAAAGATATTTTTTTCAGAATGAGTGATTTTAGTAAACAACTCTGCAGCACTTTCGACTCAATATTATAACACATATATTAATACATATGAAAATTGACAACATGCAGGAATATCAATTAAATACAACTTCATAGCTATACAATACAATATACATACTACATTTACTAACAAGAGTACCGCTGGGCGGAACAAAATAAGCCCGTCGAATGCCATATAGTGTTATATACCTGCTTACATTGAAATAAGATCTGCATCATTCTAAGAGTGGTTAGCTGATATGCTATAAAAAATGTAGGAGAAATTCTTCAGACAAAAAATCAAATACTGAAATGAACAAAAGGCAATAAATTTTGCAAAAATCGTCGAATCAAAATTCTTTTAAGGGAAACACAACTTCATATCATGAATATAATGTATAACAATGCAAGTTTCAAAGAGATCGGTCGAAAAATGTAGGAGGAGATCTCCGGACAAAATTCAAATACTGAAATGAACAAAGCGCAATAACTTTTGGAAAATTGTTGAATCGAAATTATTTTATGGAAAACACAACTTCATATCATGATTATAATGTATGGCAAGTTTCAAATAGATCAGTTGAAAAAATGTAGGAGGGGATTGCCGGACAAACAAAGTTTACGCCCGACAGACAAAGCCATACCATAATACTACCGTCAAATTTGACGGTCGTATAAAAACACCACTGGTAGAAGTAAAAAGGCTATCCTGAAGTAGAGTTAGGCATGCACAGATTTTTCTCATTCAAATTATGAAATTAAAAGCTACAATAAAATTGTCAATGTGTGGATTTTCAAACTTTGCCAGAAACATTTAACTATGTTACGTTGTGAATGTACTAAAAATGAATCATTCAATTTTTGACAGCCATTGCAATTTGTAAGTCAAAGGAGACCTATCTCATAAGAACATGCTGTCCTCCAATTTGTTGCCCAATCTAACATGCTATTTTTGATTCCCCTTACTTATTTGCACACAACAGTAAAACATAGAGGTCATTTTGACATAAAACATGGTCATGGGTTTTTCTGTTTCCTTTGCATGCTTCCATCCGGGACAACAAGAGTGATTAAGGATCCTTGTCCTAGTGCACTGTGGTTATTCCTAATGGCTATATTCAGTAACCTCCCCTTATAAATAACTTCTGTTTGGATAAAACGGTAGCACTGTTTTGGGAGGCCACTTCTATTGACCAGGTACGTCGCTCAATAGGTTAGAACGATTAGTATAACAATCTGAAGTTGAGTATTCAAATCCCACTAATATTTTTTTTACACTCAGAACTTCCATATTTATAAATTTCATATCTATTATTTTTATGTCCAGCAAAGTATGGTTTTCTTTTCACAAATGATTTATCAAAGCTCTAGTCATGCAGCCCCCACCCCCACACACTTATCTACAGTTTCAAGTAGTCTGGTATGGAAATCCTTAATAATAATTTATAAAGACACCTATAGTACCATTGTCACTGCTGACAAAGTCACATTATGTATGAAGTTCTGTGGTCTTTAGTTCACCGAGATGTGTATCATTGTCCATGTCACATACATCATATTCTGCATAAACCTACTACCGGGTATTACTTATTTTGTCTGGGAGTACCTCTGGGATGCTCCCCCGATGGTGCAGTGTTGCATGCTAGAACTGGGTCTTAGAATTATGGCCCTTTGTTCAACATGTGTCACTTAGGCATTGAGGTTAATAATATGTAAACATCTCATACTCAGTCATCTAGACCTATACAAATACCAAATTTTGTATCTGCATGATTGTAACCTCTTAGAATGATTTGGTTTAGTTTGGTTTAGTATTGATTAACGTCCTATCAACAGCTATGGTAAGTTAAGGACAGCCTCCCGTGTGCAAGATGCATGCGTGTGTGTTTTGAGAGACTGCAATATGAAGGAATGTCATGTACTGTTCTGTCTTGTCTGGTTTCATGTTCCACTACAGTATATATGTGAGACACGGTAGTCTAGTGGTAGGACACCAGACTTGTGACCGAAGGGTTGCACGTTCGATTCACAGCATGGCACTGTGTTGTATCCTTGAGCAAGATACTTTACTTCGCTTGTTCCAGTCTACTTAGCTGTAAATCACCCAAAGACCTGTTCCTGTGCCTTAAGCTTGATGTTTTACCCATTGCTACATGCATAAGCAAGTTTGTGTGCTGAAAATAGACAGGCATAGAAACTAGGCACAAATGGTGTGACGACAGGATTGAATACTAAGCGGTCATTGTAAAGAACAATATTGCAATCTAACTTTTCAGGTAAAGTTAAAGACTAACAATGTTAAGCACATTTTTGGTTATTTTTTCTCCAATTCACTTACTCAACAAACTTCACATTTAGAGTTCAGAAACTGGTCACCTATGCCCAACATGTACCAGTTATATATCCTCCTCCAACAGGTAGGAATTGCAGATGCATACTAACCTTACTGGGATGCATTTACATAAATAACATTATATGTATGCAATAGAAAGGAAGCAGTGAAAAGAATATATATCAATATGTGCCATTGCAGTCGATCGAACGCAAACCTCAGACTCAGTTGGAAGCTGTATCACGTGCAGTGTCAGCGAGTTCTAAATATTATGCATATATATCCATTGTAATTGCATAATTATATTGCTTAATTTTGAAACAATGCATTTATAAATTCAAGGAAATGCGCACCAAACGTAGTCATTGTCTTTGTCTTCGTATGATCCGCTTATTCCACTGTAAACAGGTGGTTGTTGTCGTTTTCTTCTCCGACCGGTTTGTGGTGTTCTTGCAGCCATTGTCAATCAATGGAAATGCCTGTCATTCTTGAAATGTGCACGATGTTTTGGAAAATACAATATGCATGTTAGTGCCACAAACTTTACAGTTGCATACTGCAACAGATTTATGAGTCGGAATAAATCAACATGAATGTTTTTCCACAAAGCTGGTTGCACACGAGAGTAACATTTACTGAAATAATAAATACGCTTGATGTCCAAATAACCCGAGGAAATGTTTACCGTGTGAACCCTTTTCCTGTACGCATGCGTAGTGAATTCATGAAAATGTCATTGATAAAAAACACCAAAAAACCTGAATAAGTCGAAGAAGGAATTCAACATTAAGAACATTGATAAATTAGACAAGAAAATAGCAATCAATAATCTCAAAAGAACGGAAATGTGTTGAAATTATAAAATCAATTCCCAATCTTTGTTATTATTTGCAATAGCATCAGTGGCGCATAATGGAAAAAGTGAAAATGAGCTGTTCAGAAACTGGGGCTCAGGTTAGTGTTTTATGTCACAAACGACGCATTCTTTGTAAACATATATTTTGCTAGCTATAAACGATTTCTTGTCCAGGAGTCAATTCTATGGCATTTTGCTTGATTTTGAATACCCTGTTATGTTGGACTCAGAAGCCTCTTTACAGCTGTTGCCTGCTGTATGCAGAAACCTGAGAGGTTTTTACCTCACCTGGCACGAAGGGCCAAGTCAGATGAGCTTATGACATGGTGCGGCGTCCGTCGTCCATCCGGTGTCAACTTTTTACTTTAAACAACTTCTTCTCAGTATTAACCAAATGGCCTAGGGTGATGATATTTGGCCAAAAGCATGCTGGGATGAAGGGCTACCAACTTTGTTCAAATAAATGACCTTGAATTATATTCAAGATTACAGAGGTCGATTTTTTTTAAAACCTGTAAACAACTTCTTCTGAATAATCGAGAAGCCTAGGGTGATGATATTTGGCCAGTAACATGCTGAAATGAAGGGCTAACAAATTTGTTCAAATGAATGACCTTGACTTATGTTCAAGGTCACGGGTCAAATATGTTTAAAACTTTAAACAACTTCTGAATAACCAAGAGGCTTAGGGGGATGAATATTGGCCAGTAACATGCTGAGATGAAGGGCTACCAAGTTTGTTCAAATGAATGACCTTCCTACATTTTCAAGGTCACATGGGTCAAATATGTTTAAAACCTTTAAACAACTTCTTCTGGATAACCAAGAAGCCTAGGGTGATGCTATTTGGCCATTAAGATGCTGGGATGAAAGGCTATGAAGTATGTTCAACGACCCTTCTTCGACTTTAAAGGTCACATATGTCATATGCTTACATCTTTTAATAGATTCTTTTGAATCAAATACTGATATATTGCCTGTAGCTGTATTTTAGTCCACTTTTAAGATTACAAGTGTGAGCGATTCAGGCCCATTGGGCCTCTTGTTTATTTATGATGTGTGAAAGGACTTTGTGTGATATATTTCACTTTATTCCCCATTTCAGTAATAAAATTGTTACTCAAATGGGTAACTGTTCCCCAAATGCAGGAGTATTACCTATATGTGCTGTGTGCACAACCTGATAAATGCTATCCAGTGAACATATCTCTGATATTGAAATACTTTTGTATGTCCACCCTTTTGGGGTTTTCAGTCACATGTCGGTAGTGTGCTATATCTATATGTATGCCCGTCTATTCCCCGAAGAAACGTTTGCAATGTATTTTATATAATTTAGGTAGCCATATACTAGTAGTATATTACCAATATACCATGTACCTATATCTGCTCCCAGTATACATGTAGTGTAAGACTTTAAAATAGATACATATAGCATTTTACACTAAAATATTATTTTATCAAATACAGTATTATCTAGACACTTATGACTTATGAATGGTGTATTTCTTATGAAAAAGCTGAAAGATGGCAATTAACAAGTATGTATTTATAATGTTCATGTGTTATAAAATCTCAAAATTTCATTTTGATTTCTCTATCAGGCAACACAAAGTGGGGTAATGAAAAACACATTTTACATCACACAGCAATTAAATCGAAAACACAGCAAACTTTTCTTTAGGACTTCTAAGTGGAAAATTGAAAATCTGACTTCATTGAAGAAAACTCTCTGCATCACTCTTGTGGTTTTTTTTTTAATGTTATGGTGACACTATATTTGAGTATTTAGGACCCTTAAATACAAAGAGACATTGGCCAACTAGAAAATCTAAAACAGCATGTTATAAGAGTCGCATGTAAACATTCCAGTGTCACCAAACTGATGACCTTGACCTGACACGGTCACATCCACAGACAGATGTTGAGAACACAGACTGACAATACTGTATAAAATCATTAGTGATCTAGTAGCCATCCTAGCTTTAGCCACATACCAGCAAAGTGAGGACGAATATAACAGAATATCTATTAGTTATTAATGGAAGTAAACATACTGTATAAATACTATACCGATAGTCTGAGCCATTACCTCTGGGTGTCGTGTAACGTAACTTCAGAGATGAAACAGTAGATGTGTGATATAACATCCAGTTGATTCTCTGTGCCTCAATCTGTTGGTTTAGCTTTGTAATTGTCTTCTAATTTTGTTTTTCAGCTGCTAGCTCGTCTTGGAAGTCGACCAGATATTTCAAAGGTGGAGCCAATATTGTTTCCTATGGGACTTAAAGGAAAAGACGTGTTGGAGCTTTATGGAAGTGAAGGCTGTGGCAAAACAGAAATGCTTCTACATATAGCCTGCTCCTTAATTCTTCCTAAAACATGGAGAGGATGGAACTTCGGTGGATGTGGAGCAAGTTTAATTTTTATTGATACAGACTATAAGTTTTCAATTCTACGTCTTGTAACTTTATTGGAAAAAAGAATAACGCATTTTGTAGAACACAACCAACAGGTGACTTTGTCTGAAAATTCAGAAGCAACCTTCAATCCAACCTCAAGGGATATAGAAGTTGTTATAAAAGAGTCTTTGGAACGTTTGAATGTTCTTCAGTGTAAAAGCAGCTTACAGCTTCTCGCTACCTTGCATAGTCTTGAAGCCAGAATTAGTACCAATCCTGATATCTGTGTGATTATGATTGACAGTATTTCTGCGTTTTATTGGCTTGACAGATGTACTGGAGGGGAAAGTGTGACAGCTCAGGAGACTGTCATGAATCTGATTGTTGACATTCTCTCGCACCTTGTCAATGATTATAACTTAGTACTTTTGGCTACAAAATCTGCATATTTTAAACGGAAAGTGAAAGAATCAGAAAAGGGAGATTGCATTGGTATTCTGGACATGGACCATTCAGAATTTCTTTCTCGTAATTGGTCTCGATTTGTTAAACACAGACTTATACTGAAGAAAGACGTCAATAGTAGTAACGCGGTACAGTTTAGTGTGAACTCGTCATCTTGGCAGAAAAAGTTTATTGTTGCTGAAAACGGAATTTCAATTGTTTAATAAGTGAAAATTAAATGCTATTTTGACAAAATCCAATGTGTTTATGTGTGTTATTTCAGATGGAAACCATTTGTTGAATAATACTTATGTTTCTTTTAGTGTTGTCAATAATGTGGAGAAGTTAACTTTTCTTTTTTCGCTCACCCATCCGAAGGGCAAGTGAGCTTATGCCATGGCACATGCGTCTGGCTTCCGTCATCCGTCAACTTTTCCTAAAAATCGCTACTATTCATAAACGACTGAGCAGATTTTGACCAAATTTGGTTAGAAGTATCCTTAGGGGAAGGGGAACAAATTTTGTATAAATGGTGGGTCTGGCCCCCCTTGGGGCTGAGCCCAATAGGGGAAAAATAGCAAATTCTTTAAAATCCTCTTCTGTAGGAATGAAAAGATTTGTTCCATATTTGGTCTGAAGCATCCTTGGGAGAAGGGGATCCAATTTTGTATATTAAAACTGTGGGTCTGGCCCCCAAGGGGCCTGAGAGGCGGGGTCCAATAGGGAACACATAGTAAATTCTTTAAAATCCTTCTTCTTCTGTAAGAATGAAAGGACTTGTCCGTATTTAGTCTGAAGCATCCCTGGGTAAATGGGAACAAATTTTGTATAAACCGGGGGTCTGGCCCCTGTGGGGCCTCAGGGGTGGAGCCCAATAGGGGAAATATAGCAAATTCTGTAAAATCCTTCTTCTTCTGCAGGAATGAAAGGATTTGTTCCATATTTGATCTGAAGCATCCTTGGGTAAATGGGAACCAATTTTGTATAAACTGTGGGATGGCCCTATAGGGGCTTGAAGGGCGGGGTCAAAAAGGGGCAATTGGGCTATATTGATTCAAGCGACTTCTTCTCTTGAGCTAAGTTTGTTATTTGGAAATGGTCGAGATCCCCACGGTACAACCATATATACAATTGCAATAAAGAGAAGCATGCACAACCCTTTGAGACATAGTCCCTGGGTCATAACTTTGAAACGGTTGAGATCCCCACCCCAAGACTATAAATTTAAATGGTTGCCAAAAAGAGACGAATGCAGTCATGATATATATTAGAATTGATCCTGGGGTCTGGCCACAACCCTAGGGATCTAGTTTCTGTGTCACAACTTGGAAACAGTTGAGATCCCCACCCCATAACCATACATTAAATTGCTGGGCATGAAAAATCTAATACAGACATACTACAAGAATTGGCATTAGGGTCTGGCATATTCCCTTGGATCTCATTTGGAGAATATTTTGCCATGATTGCTTGGATATCCAGGTGAGCGATTCAGGCCCTCTAGGCCTCTTGTTTTGGAGTGCAGTAGTGCTTGTTGCCAAGTGTGACAATATTAGAATATGGCACCAAAGGTTATCCTTCTGATGCAGTGATATTTTTGATAATGTTGGTACTGTAAAACTTGTGTAGCAAAACTGGACTGAGTAAACTGTCTTCATGACAACCAAACAAGTGCTGGACTTGTCAGCTGCATTTGACGTCAACGACCATGGCAAACTTTATAAACGTCTGGAGTACTCTTATGGAGTGACTGATACCGCACTATGCTGGATACAGTCTTATCTGAGTGAACTACGACAGTGTGTTGCCATCGGATCTAAAACCTCACATGACAAAGTACTAGATTTAGGGGTTCCTCAAGGGTCAGTGTTAGGACCACGAAAAATATAGCCTGTACTCCAAACTGATCGGAGAGATTTGTCATCGCCATATCCTTTACTTTCATTGCTATGCTGATGACACACAAATTTACATGGTCATCAAACCACAGGACACTTATAACTGCAGATGCATGCAAGATTTTGGTACATTCACTTGTTACCTCTCGGTTGGATTATGGTATCGCCCTGCTCTGTAGTATATCTGACAAACTAACTGGTCGTCTGCAGAGGGACCAGAACACTGCAGCACGGCTAGTTACTCGAAAGAGAGAGCACATCACACCTGTGCTATTCATTGCACTGGTTACCTGTACGATACAGGTTGCAGGACAATATTTTGGTGTACACATACAAGGCTCTGAATGGAACAGCTCCCCAGTACCTGCAGGAGCTTGTTTCCCTGTATCAGTCGTCACGATCACTGCGGTCGGAGTCAGAATCATTGTTGTGTGTCCCAATATCTCGTACTGTGACCTATGGAAACCGGTGCTTTGGGAGGGTTTCAATAAGACAAGTATTGCATTAACTTAATCACTAAGACAGGTAATGCATTTCTTTTTGTTTTTGACAAGTAATATATTCTCTATGGCAATAAGACAAGTAGTCATTCTCTTTGTCAAAAAGTGACACATTCTTCAGGTCTTTCCTATATATGTCAGTAGAGATTCCAGAGTTGGAAATGCATTACCTGTCTAATATGAAAATTATTACTTTAGGATATATGTATATTATATAATACCAAAGTGAAAAGGAAACCATAATTCAAACTCAAAATCAACAAGAGGCCCAATGGGCCTACATCGCTCACCTGGTATTAATCTCACACTCAAAACCATAAAAGTTATCTAAAATAAAGCTACAGGCAAAAAATCAGTATTTATGACTATACGTCATTCCAAAGAACAAGTTTAAAGATTTAAAACATTTGAAACATTTGAACCCTGTGACCTTGAAAGTCCAACAAGGTCATTACGTTGAACAAACTTTATATCCCTTCATCTCAGCATGCAACTTGTCAAAAATCACCACCCTAGACCTTTTGTTTATTGTGATTAGATTATTCAAAGGTTAATACATATTTGACCAAATATGACCTTGAAAATGGGTCAATGTCATTCAATAAGCTCAGGTCACTCCCTAGGAGTTACTCCCTCTGCCTGGCCTTGCAGTTTATGTTTCACTGTGGCCACATCAGTCCCAATGGACTGGAAACTCTGGTCCCCGTTAGGAGAACTGTCCGTCAGGTTTCTAATGTCATCCACTTCCAAAACAAACTTGCCCCATTGTTTCTCTGTTCGCTGACAATAACTACAGCCTCCACAGGGTAAACTTTCAGGTCTGATCCCGGCACCATAGGATAGGCATGGGGTAAACTCATCAGGAAGTCGCAAATGCGCGTCAGCCATGTTTGGCCCAGGCCCTGTGAGTCACAATCATATGATATTGTGAAAGTTCTTCCATCCACCGTGCCAACTGTCCCTGTGGATCCTTGAACCGTAGCAACCAAGTTAAACTAGAGTGGTTTGTCCTGACGGTAAACTGTCTACCTAGTGGGTAGAATTTGAACTGTCTTGTAAATCTCACAATACTGAGAAGCTCCTTCCGGGTAGTGCAATACCTCCTCTGCTCCAGGGTTAGAGAGAAACTACTATAAGCAATAACCTTCTCCGCCCCGTCTTGAACTTGACTTAGAACTGCCCCAATGGCGGTATCTGACGCGTTCGTGTCCAATATGAATGGGTCGACCGCGTTAGGTAGCGCCAATAGAGGTGGTTCAGTCAACACCTTGCGTAAGGATTCAAAGGCATCCTGCTGCACATCTCCCCAGTGGAAGTTGTTTTTTCCAGTGAGACTATACAAGGGTTGAGCTAACTCGGCAAAACTTTTTACAAAAGTCTGGTGATAATTCACTAAGCCGAGAAACCTCTCTACATCCTTCATATTTTTAGGAACTGGCCAGTTAGCTACTGTTCCGGTGTCACGTTCTGACATGGCTATCTGGTTTTTACTTACAATGCGGCCCAGGAATTCTACCTCTGGCTGGAAGAGATGGTTGTCAACAAATGCTGCATCTCCACGAATTCCCAAAGGTCCCCAAGATGTCCCACAGGCCTCTGGAGGAGCCAAACAGCAGCCTGCACAAGGGCAGCCTCTTTGCCTCGCAACACTTCCTGATTGTCAGGGTCCACATGTTTGCTGAAGATTCCAGGTATATGCTCCTGGAATGCATGGAGGCGAACATAGCTAAAATCTCCGTGACAATCAGGAACAAGGCATTTCCTCTTCACCGACAAAGCCCCACCAGGCGAGGAACCACCCGAGCACTCCACCACCAAACCTCCAGGAGCCGCCTCAGTGGAGGAGACCGTCCGGGTGAACGTTCTACCTCCTCCGATGGCTATCCTCTTTGATTAAGGACCCGCCGGCTGACTGATTGGACGCTTCCTGGTGGCGCTCGGGTCGGCCCGCAGATTCCCACTAAGGGCCCTACGGGGACTATGACAGAGAGAGCTGTAATGCTTCCTTGGACTCCTCCTCGGACCCTCGGGATGCCCCTCTCGAGATAGTCGCTCAGCCACCTTGGGTTTAGCCTCTGAGGAGGCACAATACGCACCTCGCATCAGAGTCTCGCCCACAGCAGCATAACGACTCGATGTAACTCGTTTTCGGCTTCCATGGGGGGTAGTCCGAATTATTCTGACGTTTTATCAACTTTTTTCATACCGGTCTGTCGTAGATTAACGTCAGAACTCCGGCCCTCTATAATATGCGGGAAATATGCGACCCGCGCCCGGTGCGCACTTTAAACTGATATTTTAGAAACAAATTGTCACTTTCACACATATGTCGCACATGGATCGAAATATCTATTTTTTATGCACTAGGTGGTATCAATAACATTTTGTTCGGTCTCAAGTTCACGATACGTAAACCCCCAACAAGATGGCGATACAGCAGTCACTTCCTGAGCTAGCTGGACGGTACACATATTAAGCATACTTTCATTCCACAAAAACTCTAGTTAATAGAGAAAGCATTGAAACTAGAAGATGTTCACACAATGATTGACAAAAAACTCTCAGATGATGTTTTACAAACACTTTATTTTACTGGACATACTCATTGGTGTAGGTGTAACGATAGTTAATGTTAACAGGTTTGATGAGGTCAGTATAAAAGTTGGTCAACAACTGACCTATTCAATTTTATGAAAAAGTTCTTAGAACAAAAAATTGACCAGATTGCCAGTGAAACCAAGCAATTGTTTTTTTTTACTGCAGACCAGTAATTCAATAATCGGAGTATGGAGGGTTGTTATGTATGTTATTTTCCCATCAAACAATGTAGTTATTGCTGCCCACATAATATGTAAAGTGTTAATCTGTTTTCTGTGGAATACATCTGGGAGTACGGACCAAGGCTCCATGTACACAAGCATTACATATGTAAGCAAAGGCATAAGACTCCAGCACACAGGCAGATCATTACTATTATATTTAAACATATTTATCTCCTCAAGCTGGTATATAAATGATATTTACTCAATTTTTCTGGGAGCCCCAAAAATCAAATCACAGTTCAACCATCAGATGCAATTTTTTCTCTCAAAAAAAACCCTGAAGAAATTTCTAAAAATAATTTATTACAAATACATGTCTTACCAGGAGAGGTTTCACAAACATGTATGTTTATATACGTTTGGCTCGCACCTAAAAGCACTGATGCTAGAGTTAAATTATGTGGGATATGAAAACCAAGCTTCTGTGTACAGTAACCATACTGATACTTGCATGCACTGGCAACGATATTCAAGTTACACATATTCAGATTTAGCATTTTTAAAGCTCTTTATAACATGTATAAATACAGCGGTTTATATTGAGCATTTCCATTGTTTCATAACCTAGCGCTTTCCAAATAGAGCAAAAAATGCTATTAAATGTATAGTTAGCCCTGCTAAAATACCAGTAGATACATAAACCCAATTGTTCTTTTTAAGTGTGTCTCACACATCCTCAGAGTATTGGTAATTCTTGTTTACAAATCATAACATACAAAAGGTTTTCCAACTAAACAGGATACTCCGATAGAAACTAGAAGCATTCATTTTTATTTATTTATTTTCCCACCCATCCCTCCAGACACACACACACACACACACATACATGTAGTGATTACATGCATTTTCTCATTGTTTGATCATTTTGAAAATGGGAGTATGCCATTTTTTGTCTTTAATACAGAAGAAATCATAGATTCAAGCAATATTTCAATATATTTACTAAAGGGGGATTTAAGGTTAAAACTACTTGCTCATTGGTAAAAACTTTCAATGGAACTTTTTATACTTGATACATTTGCTGTTTACACATGTTCACTGCTTCTCTTGTTAATTCTAGTTCTACAGATAATGCAGAAGAAATCTACTGAGTTTCAGTGGACAAAACAAAAAGATAATTACATGGAAGTGAAAATCTAGTACTGTGGAGTGGCAACATTGCCATGATTTTTACACAAGATCAACTATCTATACATTTGGAAATTATCCAAAATTTGTCTTTCAAGTAGGGTTTGGTATTACAACACATTTGCACTCTGACATGCTTCCTCTCACTGATAACTTCACAACACGAACAATCCTATAAACAAGCTGGCTAACTTTACAGCAGTACACATCTGATCAGCTCTACATTGGTCTATACTATATATACAACTAATTCCACTTAAACTTTACATGATATATATTCATAACAAGTACACTGCACAAACAAATAGCATGTCCATAATCAACATAAGCATGAACTTCCATAACTCAATACTTGGCACTTCCTCATAGATTATTTGTCACTAAAGCATTTGATATTATGAGATTATGTGCATAAAAGTAAATAATAAACAATTAGAAAACACTTGAAAATTCTATAAATAAATGGTTTACTTAAAAAGATATTTTATCAATAAACAAAGGTAAAACTTTGATACACATCTACAAAATATTAAGAAAAGTGATCTATATTATTGGGATCAGTTTTAACTGACAGCATCTCCATCACATACGTAAACAATCTCTGCTGATTTACATGTAACATTTAATAGTGTTGACTTAATGAGCATCTCCGAAATATTAAAAATCATCCTCTGTTGTTTCACATTTGATATAACATCCCTTTTGACTTAAATGTGTTTTTATATACTAAAGATGTTTCTGCTCTCTATCATTGTTCAAAAACAGGATTGTATTCTCGATTTGATACAGGTACATTTACAAAGTATTATATATTTTGTTGTCAGTTCATTACAGAGACAATATAAGGTGTGAGACAGATAAAGCACCGACTATTTATATTAGAAGTCAGAAATATGGCAGGAAACAGTCAACACACAAGATATTAACGACTGGTGTAATAATTATAGAAACTGTTGTGAGAGACAGTTAAAGTAACTTCACCACGTAGGATTCTTAGATAAAACATGACATATCGATAGTGGTTATGGTGTGGGAAAAACACAACAGATTGGTAGGTGATGTCACATTTCCTATTTATAACTTATTCTAAGAAATGGTTTGAAAATTGAACAAAAATACAAAACGAAAATATTTTGAAATGTTTGATTTACTTTGTAGAAAGATTAAGGCAAACATAGATCTTCCCATACTGGTATTTAACAGGTTTTGATAAATAAATTAAATAATAAGATAACAAACTGTGTCATCTTAACCTTCAGTCTCATAAGGATGTAGGAATGATATATAAATTAAGGTATTTATAAACCTATAAACTATTAACAGATCTCATCTTAACCTTCAGTCTCATAAGGAGGTAGGAATGATATATAAATTAAGGTAGGTATCTATAAACTCGGAAACTATTAACAGATCTCATATGGTCATAACAGAATTACAATTTACGTCATATATTTATCTTTATAAAAAAAAGTCTGTAAAACGCTAAGCAATAGATTTTTGCTTTGGCGGCCACAAAAGGAATAATTAATGTGTAAAAGATGAAATTTTCCAAATATCCAAATGTCCCGGGTATATTTACCTTTGCATACCTATCCCTATTTGTGTGATAATATATGTATTCCTGAACACTAGACGGTGTGCTGTTGATTTCTATTTTAAGTTAGTATATGAATCATTTCTGCTTTGTTTGACTGTATAATAGTTTTTTTTACACATTTTTACAAGTCCTATAAAGTATAAATTAAGAAATACAGCCCATCTATATAAATATGGAACCAATTACACCAAATATGGTATAACATATTTCTTATCAGATCTAACAATATACTGCCTCTTTATCACCTAGGAATCACTGCAACGAGCCACCTCCTGGTATATAATACAAATCTACCAAAATTTAAATAATTTCATTGGAAACAATTCAATTTAATAAAACATTTGGCAGCTTCAGGAAACAAACATGTTCATATTTAATTAATATCCTATCACTGACAATATAGCCACTGATTTACATTCACAATGCTCTGTTGTCAGACATTCTTATCACAAGTGTGTTATTTCTAATGTCAAGGTATCATCAGATGATATGTTCATAATCTGGATCAGTTGTATCAGGCTTTGATTACATATACTTGCTGCATAAATATTTCAGAACTGCATATCAATTATGGTCAATCAAAATTTAAGAATTGACCTGAAGAAAATCATTTGGAGTACAATATCAAAAGTTAGAAAGTATATAAATTTATATCAAATTATAGCCGATCTTATTATTTATGAAATCTTTACAAAAAAGATGAATCCTTCGAGTATTATGTCTCCATATGTAAATGACATGAACACAATTATCTTGACCACAAAAAAAGTAATAACTGTCATGTTTGTTTCTCATTTGGTTACAGAAACCATTACACATAACTATATATCACATGGTTAAGCTTCACAAAAAGCTGTTCTTAAAACTCTTGCACTTTATCCCTTTCACCACTACACCATAACTGACTTCTCTATATCAATACATGGTAGAGTCTACTCAAGTTACATTGGGGTAAAAGGGTTAAGACACAAGTTCATACAACACTTCTATTTTACTTCTTAAAACAGAAAGCAACCTTACGACGCATAGGAAAAAACTACTGTTCAAACTAAGGTATAACATAGAGAAGGGCGTCGTCAAATATCTCTCCCTCAGTGTCCATGCCTCCATGGATGAGACAGAACTTCATTGTCATGGTGTTAGGGGGTTGGTTGATGTTAGGGGTACCAGTAGCCCCTTCTGGCCTCGGTGTCTCTTCCTCCTCCTCTTCGTCAGACAACTGATCCTGGGGGTTGACTAGTCCCTCTGCACCTTGGAGGTCAGGCAGCGGGTCATGGAGACTCTGGGGTCCCTCTGTACCCTGGCTGGAACTCTCTGTTAAAATAAACATCAAAATATGCTTAGATGGAAAAGAAAATTATAATTTAAAGTATGTTCCTTTTCAAGCTTATATTCTTTTAAATCCTTTTTCTAAGAGTTTAAATTACCTGTAAAGAACATTACAAAGAGAATATACTTGATATTAGGAATAAAACTATTTTATTAAATGTAAAGAACAGCTTTAACATTGTTTGACTTCACAAATCTCTCATTACTGAACAATATTTTATTTTGCAAGCTCATTTGGCATTAAATACAAACTTGTTAATTGTCGATAAGCTATAACACAATACACTTTCAATATTTCTAATTGAACACTAAACACTGAAATATGAATTTACCAGAGCTAGTGTCATGTCTGCTATCTCTAGAACTGGCACTGCCTGGTTTCAGATCTCGTAGAGAGAAGCTATCACGAGAACTGGCACTGCCTGGTTTGGCACTACTTCCCCGGGAACTTGCACTGCCGGGCTTGAGCTCACGATCCAAAACCTCTTGGGCATTCAGTGTGGCTCCAATGATGTCATCATCTTCTGTTGTATCAGGAAAAGCACGCTCCAGTTCCAGGTAACACATGCCAAAGTCTAGTCTACAGGCAGGAGGGGGGCCCTGGAGCTCAATCTTAGTCCACACCATAGATACTGTGGAGAATAAAAATAACAAGGATAAACTCACAAGTGAACAATTGTTGAGATGCTTGAGCAGTCATTTCATTTTCAATTTTTAATACTGATAATATAACATCAAAAGGATTGAACAATAGGCAATTGTATTTATTCATACCCGTATTAGGGCTATTTTAGATGTGAATATGGGGGAAGAAGAGGAAGAGAGTCATGATCAAGTAGTTTTATGGTTAACGTGGGTGATAGGGTCACATGTACCTGTTCATGTTTGTATAGTTGGCACCAGCAAGGAGAACAATTATGCCTCCTTAACTCTCCATATTTAAAAAAACATAGCTTAAGAAGGAAAGACAATTGATACAATATTACCTGTGTCTAGTTTGTGTAGGTCATCAAGAGCTCCTTCTCTGTTCATTCCACCAAATATATACAGGTCAGTTTCATAGGCCATTCCAGAATGGGCTGCTCTAGCAGAGGGAAACACTTTCTTCTTTCTAGCATTGGACCAGCACCTCTTGTTAAGGTCTAGTATATGAAGATCATCGTAAAAAGAAGCCCCAGCCATACCTCCATGAATAAATAAACGGTTTCCAATGCCTACCATTACATGACCATGACGGGGTTTAGGTGAATCTCCTTGTACATGAAGAATTGACCAAGAGCCAGATTTTGAATCGAAACAGTGGACTTGGCGGTCACTCACTGGGTCAGGGCCACTGTGGCCCCCACTATACACAATGAACCGGTCCCCTACAACTGCTGTTGTGTGGAATGTCCGAGGCGAGGGTGGCTTGCCAAGGACGGCAGGAGTGGACCAGGAGTTTGAGGAGGTGTCCAACACCTGGATGTCATTCATGTTTCCAGTGGGATCTGCTCCGCCAAACACATATATTTTATCTGAGGAGCTTGTGGGTACAAAGGCAGCATGTTCGTATCTGGCTCGGAATCCTGGGAAGTCAACAATGTCCCACTGCATGGTGTTAAGGTCCATGTAAAAGGTATCACAAAAAGCACCACTGGGGTTGGCCCCACCAATGACATACAACCTGCCATTGTCACCAGGCTTTGACCCTTTCACAAAGGAACAGGTATGGCCAACACGGATTGAGGGGCTGTCTCCAAAGGTAGATAATACATACCATAGCCCTGTATTGGGCATGGTGTCAGAATCAAGCATCGGGTGCAGCTCCATGGCAAATTATTATAATTAGTAGTAGTACTATAGTATAAGTAAATTAGCTTGGTATGAAATATCTAATGTTCCTGATTTGGTTATGGACTTCAGATCAACACAATCGCAATAAATTGAAATGAATTTAGCTTGGTTAAAATTTCTATATAAATATATTGCAGGGATATAACATAAGCCAGGCAAATAAGCAAGGGTGATGACATAAACCTTATAGGTTACAAATGTTAACAAAATGGCGAATATTATGGATATTACAGGAATGTAACAGAAGGTCCAATGAAAGCAGGTAATGGATGTGGCTATACTATGCTACAAACACTTGACTGAACACGACTGGAATCCATTTTCATGTGGTTGATGCCTTCTTGTCGAGCCACCACTCCTCTGTTTCCATAGTTACCAAACTCCACATGGTTACTAGAGTCCACCTCCACTGACAGTGGGCGTTTTGTGCTGGTAGCAAAGCTGAGATCTTTTTTCTTACGTTGCTGCTGCTGAAATATCATTAGCGATGTGTCCTCATACCGCTGGTGGATGAAGTAGGACGAATCAAAGTAGTTGGGTGTTTTATTCATCGAGGCTTCTGGTCTTCACTCCATCATCTGAAAAAAGAAATAAAAACCAAGTGAAAACTAACTACTGACTGTCATTTGTACCTGTATATATAAATGTGGTGCACTGAATTGCCCAGTATGCCTAAGATATTATCAAGGCACTTAATTATATATAGCAGTCAGATGGTGGTCACTATCCGACTGCTATGCAATTCACTTACAAAAATCTCTAAAGATGTGCTTTTGTTTGTAATTAAAAGGAGTTTTGATCAGGACTATAAATAGCACTTTATTCTTTATATGTACCATCTGCTATTTTCTGGTCAGGTTCTATTCCAAGACAAGAAATATTGTAAGGAGTATCATCAATCATCGTCATCTTCCTGGACAGGAATTGACTCTGTGTGGAGTGTGTTAATTAATTCCAGCGACATGCCCAACATAATCAAACTATACCATCATGAATAATTTAGTGATAATATTGTAAAAAAAAAACCCCACTAAATTGTCGTTATAAATTAAATAACAAAACTTTTCTTTAAAGGACCCCATTGCAACAAAAAAAAACAATGATAAGACAAATCCTCCACATATTAATTTAAATGACACTATCTGTGATTATACCACTGAAAGAAATCGTACAAATTGTAAAAGTCCTTTTTATAGTAACAAACGGCCAAGAAATCGAGCAGAAGTAAATAAAAATACATCAGACTCGGTGCAAACCAAGACAGATGTAACTAAATATAAACATATATGTATTAAAGAAGACATTACAAAATCAAAAGAAATTCTGTGTGATATAAATGCTAAAAAACAACAGAATTTCTCAATGGCCCAAAATACTCCATAAGATTTTGGCGTTCCCATAAAGGGTTTACATATTGGAAATTGGAATATCCAACACTTACTACATTAAAGCTGGTCTAAATATGTGTACTGACACGTATAGATATGGATTAACATCTACATCTCAACAAAATCTAATATTGCCAAGACCAAATTCTGAATTATTCAAAAAGTCATTTACTTACACTGGAGCAATGTTGTGGAATAATTTACCGGTCAATATTAAAAATGCGACCACAGTTTGTTCTTTCAAGAAACACCTTAGGCAGCATCTGCTATCTCTATATTTAAATGAGTAATGTTTTTCACACAGGTAACTGTCAAAATTTACAAAGTTTCTGTGAACGTATTGTTACCTTGTACTTTGATGTAAATTTTTGTACATATACATATGCTCAATTATATTAAAACTGTATTCCTCAGGGAAAGAATGCTGTGTGTACGAGTTTATGTGTCAAATAGTTTGTTTACTGTTTTTATCTGTATAATAATTTGATATTATTCACGATACGTTTGTTTAGATATAGACAATAGTGCATGTATCGTTTATCTAGTCAGCAGCTTAGTCTGATTACCAACTATTCATAAACAATAGTAGCTTTCAGTAATCTTACATGTTTATTTGTTGTCCATGATTTTGTAGTTAGCATAATAATCTGTTTTAATGTCAGTTTCCATGTTTGTATGATGATGTTTGAGAGGGCCATATGGAAAATTAGTCTTGTACTAAATATGTAACCCTCATTAAATAAAGATACTATTATTATTATTATAAATAAGTCACTTGTGGCTTTTATGGGTAATCATAGGTAAACGGCACTCACCACTCCTATTATGCAACATATTTATATCTACCTTCATATACTAAAAATAGGTGGTCTCATTTTATAGTAATATCTGCCTTTTTTTGCAGTGTATTTTTTTTATACTCCGCGATATATGTCAAGGATTGAATTAAGAAACCTTTTATTATTCTCAGTCTTAAAACAAAATATTCTTTTTTAAATACAAAAGCTGCATTTTGATCTTTATTATATGTTTTATTCTAAATTGTGATATCTTGTAATAACATCCTATTTTACCTGAATATATATCATTATTAATTTAATTCAATTCATTGATATATGGACTTTTGAGTGTTGTGAAACACTATATATATTATCAAAGTAATATATATGAACAATATGGGTGTGATATTAGTAATTGATGTCTTAATGTATTGCATTTTATGTACCATGTACCTGTATGTGTATATATGTATGTCGGTCAAAAGCTCTTCAGAGCTTATGTATATAACCACCGACTCTAAATAAAATTTATCTTAAATTCAAGCTTAATTCTGAGCAAGAACATTGAAGTATAAATTTCCTGTTGGTTGGGGCCTAACTTGCAATGTCTGCTAAAACCAAACCATAATTTCAACCTACCAGGAAAATAAATTGTCGGAAGATACAATTTGTCTATGCAACACATATTACTTGAAACACACTCACAACAACAGCGCATAGACATGTGCTGAGAGTTGACATAAATCAAAATTAGATTTTGACAGGTGACCAAGAAAATATTTGAACCCAGTTATGTTAGGCAACAGTCGCAACGTTTTACAAAAGGTCAAAGATATTTCATGATGTGATATAGCTGACATACGTACTAAACAAATCGCAGTTGAGCAATGATCAAGTGTGTGACACACGAATATGTAGAGTGCATCCAAGAATCCAAGAAGGAAGTCTTCCCGACCCTAGAAACACATGCGTGCTTATGTACGGCGCTGCTGTGTACAGACGACAAGTAAAGCTAACTTTATCGTTTATCGAATCTATTTTCGTATATAATTTACATCCTTTTTGGGTAACTTTTCATGCTGAAATTTCACCCCAAGATAACGTGTGTCCACATTTTACTGTAATATGGTAATAGTAGCAAGGAGCAGTTTAATAATTGCAATATTTTGAAATGAAGCATTGTTGTTGATCATCACGATGCGGGACTGCAAGTGGTAGGTCTTCAAAATGGCGTCGGAGGAATGGCAGCAGTGTGCGAACTGGCTAATTCGTTGCAAAATTTTGCCAGAGGATCATCGAGCAACACTTCCAGACGCCGAGATTTTTGACTTAGCACAAGCTTTGAGAGACGGTGTTTTAATATGTCACTTACTTAACAACTTATCACCTGCATCTGTGGACGTCAAGGATTTTAGTCCTCGTCCGCAACTTTCTCAGGTCAGTGTTTCATTCATTGGCGAAAACGCAAAGACAGAGCGGAAACCTCAGTCGTGTAATTGGTCGATTTAAATGTTTATAATAGTCAAAGTATACAGACATCAGAAACAAAGACCATGCATTATTAATTATTCATATAAGTCTGAAAATGTCAACGTGACATGAAGGAAAAATTTGTGTTTATATTTCACTTCCTAGTTTCACGTCCGGAAGCGAATATCACTTAACTGTTAACAGATTCTTAGGTAGAATTAAGTCTCGCTACTATACGACACTTGAGACAGAAACAATTTGAACATCATTAAGGCAATGGGTGTAACTTCATTTGACAGTTTATGATTATGTAACATTATTGTGACAATTAAATACAAATTAATAAAGGGTGTTATGCGATATATATACAGTAGACAAGGATGTTGATAAAACTGTTTTTCACAAACAAGCGTTAGATCTGAAGTGGCTTTAATTACTGGGCCCACTTGTATAAAACATCTCAACTCTTGAGATTTCCTCAAGTCTAAGATTTCCCATGGACAATACATTGCTGGAGATTTTCCTTAACTTTGAGATGTTTTATATATTACTCATATGACTACAGTGATTTTGTAATATTTGAAACAACACTAATTTATTTAAGGTAATTAAAGGGAATTTCTTTCAACATAGTAGTAAAACTCACAAATAAGCTTTGAAGAAAATAGATTAATTAAATATCAAAAAGTATTGTTGTGTATAAATCACTTAAAAAAATGATTGGTTGAATAGGATGGCAAGATTGATGGTTAGAAACTATAGATTGTTGCTTGCTGTGTAAAACTATTATAGAAAAAATTTGAGTGATAAAACTGAAAAGTTTGCATATAACAGTAACTGAAAAAGAAATAACAAATATAAATGCATTAATTGATGTTTAACAAATGTTATAACAGGCAATGTGTTATTTGACAATGTAAGGAATGATCAAGTTTGAAAATGCTTCCAGCTGAATTCTGACTCTCTATTAAGGTAATATAGCTTACAGGTACATCTAGCATCCTCAGAAGGAAGGAACTTACTCATAAGTTACCGCAGAGACGTCTCTGGTTACTGTAATTAATTATAACTTGAAGTGATTATCTAATCAATCATCAGTTATCTATTATCAATCAAATGCCGTTTTTCCTTGCTTTTTCACTTCTATTCACTTAACCTTTACATACTCATGTTTTAAGGCAGAGTGTTGCATACTGAAATATAGAGTTTGTGTTCCTCTATTTACAGAGTTATGGCCCTTCGATCATTATAGAATCCATATTTGTTCTTACTCTTTCACCTATACATATATGTATATTTACCAAACTTGTATATACATTTTTCTGCTTTTATGATATATATATAAATGTATTTTGAGAAAGCAGAATGTTGCATATTGAAATTATGGGGTCCCAAACCACTCTTTCATTCATTATAATTTATAGTGTATAGCCATATGTATGTTTTGTTAAAAAATATTTTGTTTATGGGCAAAGGGAGGCAATTTGTATTCAGAGTTTTGTCTATAAAAGATAAAGGCAAGGTTAAGGAGGGCCGTGTAAAGAGCAATATGTGTTCACATTTCAACATTGCCAAGAAATAATTTAACATTTCTGAGTAAATATTACCAATGTAAAAAAAAAATCTGATCACATTCCAGTATACTAAATTGATACTTTTTGTTACAAGAATGCATCAGAAGATCTAGAATTCTAAGTTAGTATACAGTATGACACAAGTTTCCTTTGTTCTGCAATAGAAACTTCATGGTACATATATATATATGTAATTGGGGTGTACATTTTGTCTCAGCAGTACTCTCTTTTGTTTTCGGATGCTATGATGCTATTTGAAGTTTATTGTAATAATGAAGTGATAAATTTCAAGAATACTGACACTCGATATTTCAAAAGAAATATTGATGTGTCTGTTGAATTGACCATAAATTAAACGTATTGTTATCAATATGAATACATTGCAGGTCCAAAGTGATATTGTTGTATTATAGAAATTAAGATTTTGTTATGTCTAGAGTTGTACACATTATTTCACTTTCTCACTCAATTTCCTTCAATATCTACTTTGTATTATTTATAATTATAAAAAGAAATGGGGACAAAGAGAAAGTAAACAGTTGTTTTGACCAATGTTATTGTGTGATGCAAGCACAATTATGGAAGTTTCGAAAATAGATATATTCATCCACAAATTTTTTATATAAAAAAATAACAGTAACAAATGCACATATTTGATATGTTAGCACTAACTGAAATATGTATTGATTGGTTTATTTACTGAATTTTTGAGATAATTGTATAGATTGAGTTGATCATACTGATACGTTGTACACTGCACCTTATATTAATTGCTTTAGGACAGATTTGTCAAAAGTGTCAGTGTTTTTCTGTTGACAGTTTTTGTGCCTGAAGAACATCAGAACTTTCCTGCAGACATGTAAAAGGGTGTTTGGTCTGCGAGATGCAGACCTGTTTGAACCCCAAGACCTCTTTGATGTCAAAGACTTCCGAAAGGTACTACTCAGATACCGATCACTAGAATTGGTTGTTGACAGCTGTGGAGCCAGAATCTTCATATTATACATATAATAAACAAAGGTTAAACAATGTGGTATTCAAAGTTCAGATCAATGGCACAAAAATGAGAATTACTTTTGATTTTGTTTAAAATCAAATTAATTATTATAATATCAGGGATGTACAATTGCCCTAGCCAGTTTCTCTAAGATATTTTGTCAAGGCTAGTTCAAGTTTTCAATATTCACTAGGAAAATATAGGCCAAGCCAGTTTAATTTTACTAAATCTGCCTTTTGGCTAATATATATATATTATATGATAGTTGAATTTCTATTTAAATTTGTGCTATCTTTCAGGTTCTGATGACATTGTCTCGTCTGTCAAAAACTGATACTGCACAAAGTCATTATAGGTAAGTACAGAAAAAAAGCTGTATCACTTCATACCTTATTCATCCCAGTCAGGGAATCTTTATCAGACAGTGTAGTACAGACTGGCCAACAGATCAACACAATACTACAACCCTGGTACATGTAAAGGGAGGGACACAATACAAATTTTATTGTACATTTGTAATTTTTTGAAATTTTAATAAACGGATTGATTAGATAAAATCAGCATAACTATCCGGTTGTTGGAACGCATGGAACTTGCCTAATGTATATTAAAGTTTATTAGTTACTACAATCCTCCTTCTACCTTCCCTTCTGAAATTTGGAAAGCCCATCCCAAAACATAATGAAGGAAAGGAGATCTTATTTGTGTTTCTAACTTGTTTGTTGGATACAAATTGTAAGTGAACTAAAGGGCATTGAAATGTTATATAAATGTGCAGCACAAGCTTTAGGACTTTATCAGGCACTCCCAATCCAGCTGATTAGCTGTCTAAGGCTGGAAATGATTCACTGATCAACGTATTGAATGAGTATTCAGCCAACAATATGATTCACATCCCATTAAAATAAATTCATATCCTTTCTTATCTCATTTATGAATCTTTTGGAATCAATATAACATCCATAAAATTTAGTATCAATCCATCATTTTGCATAACTTTTAAATTAAACCATTTCAGAATAAAATTGTGTTCAGCAAAGTGAAAAATTATTTAGAGCACATAGCTTTATGTTATTTCTGTTACGAGAATGCTGATGAGCTGATAGTGAATAAGCATCTTTTCTGCAGAAACAAACTGTCTATTATTTGTGTGTCAGCACATTTTTTTTTCTTGTTACTGATTATTTTGTTTTAAAAAAATCCTTTCTTATCCCATTCCTATTTGCTCTATTTAAAAGCTTTACAAGTAATTGGGATTTTGCCATAAAGCATTGGGCAATGTTCTAGGATGATGAAGCTAGGGTATCTGGAAACGATCATGGTACATATATTTACTTGTATGAACAGCTAATTTACTGAGTTTTGAGTAATGTGTATTTTGTTTAAAGCAGCTGTATTTAGAAAGTGGTAGAATGTTAATGATCAAGTGTTGAAGGCATTGTGAGGAGTAAAGCTGTTAAGTAAACTGTTATAATAATGATCTGCTATGTAACATCTACACAACACTGCCATCATTATACGGGGGAGCTTTGAGGTCTGGTTATATCACAGTTGCTTTTAATTTTCACATCTGGATTGGAGGTTCACCTTGCAGTTATCATACAACCCAACAAAAACATGTCCCATATATACTATTTGCCTCCTTGTTGCAATAACCACAATATAAAAAAAAGATAATTTCTATATATGTAGCTCCAAAAATAAAAGATGCAATCTGGAATATCTACACATATGTCTATGCCTTTATCAGCTGTCAATTATCTAAAATGAAGTCATCTTAAATGTTTTATTTACTTGTAAATTTTGCCTTTATAAACATATTTTGCTGAAGTTAAGGGTGTCAACATCTAGTTAAAAGGGGACATTTGCAGAACAAATACCACGAATCATGATACTGTAGCTTTAAATAATCTCATCCATCTGAAGAAGTCGCAGGCCTAGGGAAAAAATTGTGAGAAATCTAAGCAACTTCTCCTACAGTATCGTAAGACTTAGAAAAAATATTTGTCATGTAGCTTGCTGGAATTGAACTCATTCGTCATTGATATCAATTTTGTTCAAAGAAATGACCTTGACCCATTTCCAAGATCACTGGGGTCAAAGTGGAATATGTCAAAAAATTCAAATAATTCTGTCCGCTCAACTGCATGTCTGAGGCTAGAAACAAGATATTGATTTTATAACATGCTTGGGTAAAGGGTGGCCAGATTTGTTGAAATAAAGTTGCTTTTCTCACTTTCAAAGATAGGGGTCAAATCAGTTCAAAACTTCAAACAATTTTGTCTACAAAACACAGAACTTACTATGAGGCTAGAGTCCAGGACTATCTACAAGGTAGTTTGTTCAAGTGAATGACCTTGTCTCTTTTCATGTCATAGGAATCAAATATATTGAAAACTCAGTAACTTTTCTCCAGAATACAGAATTTGGAGGCATATAGAATTAGGATATTGTTCTGAAGGTTGTTGGGGTAAAGGGCTATCATGCTTATTCAAATAAATGAACTTGACCTATACTTAATGTCACCAAAATGTAGCATGCATCTGCTTGGATAAAATTGCTGTCAATTTCTTTGAATAGTTTACCTCTGCCCACAATACAATAGCAAATATTACTGTCACATGTTTGTTCATCAGTTTCAATTTTGTTATGCAGTTAAAAAAATATTCTTACTAATAAAATCAAATATTAGGGAGGTCATTCTTTTAAAGGTCAAGGTCATTTGAAGTTGATTCTTTCAATCTGATTAGCTGCTGATTTCTGCTCAATAACACAATTATTGTAAAATCTAGCATCAATCATTAATTCTAACCCCATTGTATAGCAAGCCTCTAATATTTTGAGGGTTAAAAGCCATATTAGGAGGTTATATACCCTGATATGGAGGTAAACCAAACTGATGACTTAAACTTTTCTTACCTCAATTGTAATAGGTAGATGTCTATCTTCTTTTAGGTCAAATGTCAAGTTGACTGGTCATTAAGGTTGAAAGATATATTCCCTTAAATTCATTTTACCTTATATAAGATGCTTAATTTCTCTATTAGCAGGTACTGTGTAATGTGTTATTTCATAAAGTCACTAAGTCAGGGGGAAATAAGATAAAGGCATGACCTGCACATGAGATAACACTTTTACACTATTCCATTTCATGTATCTACACTGTTATGCAAAAATATTGATTCCTCATTTGTTTGTCAGATACAAAGTCTTACAGTTCTGTTTGTCAGATACAAAGTCTTACAGTTCTGTTTGTCAGATACAAAGTCTTACAGTTCTGTTTGTCAGATACAAGGCCTTACAGGTTACGTTTGTTTGCAGCGGTTTCCCACCAAACCACAGAACACATCGAGCGCCTCCCCTCCCTGTGGCAGATGACGATGATGAGGATATCTATGGTAACCTACCTCGGATGGCACTGTAAGCAACTTTCTCATAAATCCTTTGCTGATCTGCTGTCTTATGCATACAGAAAAACCAGTTTCAAAAGCACTCATTTCTGACAATACTCACAATCATGGCAGAAGTCTCTGGTAACGGGCTATTTTTTCCTCAGGTGCATATGATCTTCCTCAAAAACTGAATCTCACTCTGCTAAATGTCGGGGTGACAGCTCCTGGTACAGTTTTATGTGCATCTTAATGAATTGAAAGCTGTTTATTTGATGTTTGTATTGTTGCGTAAAATCAGTGTTTTATTGTAACTAGTAACATTTTGCAATTAATGGTTAATGATAAACATGTTCATATATTTTGAAATAACATTTTAAAAAGGGGCTGAAGTTTTTATTCAAAGTATGGAAAAAAAGTTCTTAAATGTCTATGGAAAAAGGTGATTTCTTGTTTTTGCACTAGGAAATAACTCTGTTCCTCATGACTGATAATTTGATGATCATTACTATTGTTTCTACAGACGGACATGATATAGTGTTAAAGATTCAGATGTAACAGGAATTGAAATCCGTGTGACGTTTGTCTCTGTAGTGGATGTCTAACCCGTGTAATAGTTTGTGTTGTAGTAATACATTAAGCCTGTGTGTGATGTACAAGTGTCTTTATGATTCCAGTGACCATGACATGCCCCATGACCTCGAGCACACTGATACGGGACAGGATGAGAAGATTTATGATGATCTGTGCTCCATTAATCTTAATTCCATTTCACAGGTATTGTCATGGTGATATACCATCACAGTGCCATCTAGTGGAGGTTTACATGACATGATGTCTTGTATCACCCGGTCAATCTTGAATGTTCAGTGGATGTCTGCTTTATGTTCATGTTTTTGTTTTATTGAAAATTTTAGTTATTTCAGTTGTGCATGCGAGATAAATGCTATTGAAAGTGCTAATTGTCATGTAATGTATTCTAAAACTATCATGTATGGCAATGAATCTTAATATGATTAAAAAGTTCCTAACAAAATTTGTTCAATTTTTTTTCTGGTAATTATTATAATTCATTTTTGTCTTATATTTAATGGCGATATGTTAAAACCATACACAGATGAGTTTTAGAAACATGTATATGATCATTATTTTAAAATGTTCCTTTTCATCTTTTACCAAACATTTGTCTCCACATGGTAGTTTTCTGTTTGATATGTTTTCTGTTTGATATGTTACACTAATACATAAGTTGCATTTCCTGAAATCTCGAATGAAGCTTTGCATCACCATAAAACACATAAAAAGACAGAAAAATCATGTTTTAGTTTACAAACCTAAAATAAAAGACACAAAAATGTCTTAAAGATATTTATAAAAATAAATATCACACTGCAATATTACCATTGATGAGAAAAATGTCGTTAATACTATAATTAAGGTATAACTGTAAAAGTGGAAGTTATCACAGTGTGGAAATGGTCATGGTTTTTACCTTGAGAAATTTAGCATGAACAAATCTGTATTTAAGATTCTACAGATTATGAAAAAATGTACATGCATATATATGAATATAAAGATTTCAGAACCGTAACATTGTCACCACAAAAATATCCACACCAACATTTCCGTGATCAGTTCGAAGGGACACAACTTGAATATTTCCACATCTGAGAATTTCCACTTTCACTTCGATGGGTGAAAATGAGAGAAGTCTAGTTTGTCACTCATAGTTAAAGAATGTCTAAGAAAGCTAGTTGTTGACATTATACTTCCATGCACTCTAATCAAAGTTTCCCTTTTAAGTAAATATTTATTTGGCTGATTTGTTTCAGAGCCTTTACAATTAGCTTATAAAACTTTGAGTATAAAATGAATGGTGAAGCTTATAAAACTTTGAGTATAAAATGAATGGTGAAAAGCTTTCCATTTTTTTCAGCTTTATGTACCTTTATATGTATGGAAAGGAGCTTGCTTCATCCAAAGATGCATGTTGAACATTTAGTGTTGATATATGTACCTGTGTGTGTATGGTGTGAGTCACGTAGTGTTCCTCTCCTCTTGTCTTGCACCATGGTGTTTGCTTTTTGTTTTACATACCCTGTGCTACAGTGAAAATGATCTAGACGATAATGAGGAAATTTATGACAAAGTTTATCAAGATGACGATGAAGAAATTTACGAGGACTTATGCGCTCGGAGACACAAACGAGGGTCACATCCTGTAACTGTAAGTTACGTGTATACAACACTAATACATAACGATACACATTGTACCCTCTGATACAACACTAATACATAACGATACACATTGTACCCTCTGATACATAACAACACTCTTCAAACTCCACGGTTTTATCTTTTGCTGTTGTACACTATTCCTAATGGTTCACTAAACAACATCATCATGAGTGGAACTGACATTTTTAACTGAACCCCTTTAACGTGGAATGACTGTAGTCTTGTGGGACATTTTATAACATCGCTAATTCAAAATTGAGACAGGATGCAGTGTGTCTCATAAGTCCATGAAACGGTTAAGTATTATTGATATGGTAACTGAGCTACATTGGTATTTGAAGCAGTGGTCTGTTGTAACTAATTAATTATTGTTGATTCAGTAGCAGTAAGTATAACTGTGTGTGATTTCAATAACATACTTTAACTTATAATGAACAATTTCATATAATTTACAGAGTCCAGAACAATTACTGGTAATTTTATAACCTATAATTTACAAAAACACATAATCTTAGTACTTAACCAGTAGTTTCACATAAATGAATTTAAAAAAACCATATCTACCATTTTAATATCTTAATCACAATAAAGCAGAATTTTGATACATATACATTACTAATAATTCAATATCCTGTAACTTAATTGCATTGACACAGATTTTTTATGTGTTACTAATAATTCAGTTATCTGTAACTGAAGCTTTGCCAGCAAACTTAATATGCAATTTTTAACAATAATTCAGGACATTAATGCTTTACTGGTAATAAACCCTACAGCAGTACTCCTGGAGGGGACTATACCTTTGTACAGTGGTGGGACTGCACAACGACGCACCAAAAAATAGCTATGCACATAGTGCATACATCGTTCACCCATGGTGCACACAACTGTGGGATTTAACAATTGTTCGTCCCATTGTGTGCTTCTCTCCACACAACTGTGCGATTTAACAATCGTTCGTCCCAATGTGCGCTTCTCTCCACACAACTGTGCGATTTAACAATCGTTCGTCCCATTGTGCGCTTCTCTCCACACAGCTGTGCGATTTAACAATCGTTCGCCCTGTTGTGCGCTTCTCTCTGCACAAATGTGCGATTTGGTAGAATTGGTTGATTGATATTACAGAACGAAAAAATTCCAGAGCCCTCGTATGGTATAAGGATCACTGTATACATTGCTCATCACATTAATTAGGATTATGTTTAATTTTACAATGCATGTTACACAGCATTACAGTAACCGTTAGACTTTCAAGAATGAGTTTAGCTTCCAGGCAACAGAACAGGTAAATTACATTTTTATGATTGACCAGAGTTTTACCTGACATGTGCCTTACAAAGAGAGTTGATATGTGATACTGTATTCCGTCTTCAGTGAGTCAGTCCCCACCGGTTTTACCGATTTACCAGAGTTTGTACTCCCTCCTCAGTGATTCAGTCCCTCACTGGTATTACCGATTTACCAGAGTTTGTTCTCCCTCCTCAGTGAGTCAGTTCCTCACTGGTATTACCGATTTACCAGAGTTTGTATTCCCTCCTCAGTGAGTCAGTCCCTCACTGGTATTACCGATTTACCAGAGTTTGTATTCCCTCCTCAGTGAGTCTGTCCCCCACCGGTATTACCAGAGTTTGTACTACGCCCTCAGTGAGTCTGTCCCCTACCGGTATTACCACAGTATGTACTCCGTCCTCAGGGAGTCTGACCTCACCGGTATTACCAGAGTTTGTACTCCGTCCTCAGTGAGTCTGACCCCACTGGTATAACCAGAGTATGTACTACGCCCTCAGTGAGTCTGTCCCTCACCAGTATTACCAGAGTTTGTACTACGCCCTCAGTGAGTCTGTCCCCTACCGGTATTACCACAGTATGTACTCTGTCCTCAGTGAGTCTGACCCCACTGGTATAACCAGAGTATGTACTACGCCCTCAGTGAGTCTGTCCCCCACAGGTATTACCAGAGTTTGTACTACGCCCTCAGTGAGTCTGTCCTCTACCGTTATTACCACAGTTTGTACTCCGTCCTCAAGGAGTCTGTGCCCCACTGGTATTACCAGAGTTTGTACTCCGTCCTCAGTGAGTCTGTCCCCCACAGGTATTGCCAGAGTTTGTACTACGCCCTCAGTGGGTCTGCCCCCTACCGGAATTACCACAGTATGTACTCCATCCTCAGTGAGTCTGACCCCACTGGTATTACCAGAGTTTATGTACTACGCCCTCAGTGAGTCTGTCCCCCACAGGTATTGCCAGAGTTTGTACTACGCCCTCAGTGAGTCTGCCCCCTACCGGAATTACCACAGTATGTACTCCGTCCTCAGTGAGTCTGACCCCACTGGTATTACCAGAGTATGTACTACGCCCGCAGTGAGTCTGTCCCCACTGGTATTACCAGAGTTTGTACTCCGTCCTCAGTGAGTCTGACCCCTACCGGTATTACCAGAGTTTGTATTCTGTCCTCAGTGAGTCTGTCCCCCACCGGTATTACCGTAATTTGTATTCCGTCCTCAGTGAGTCTGTCCCCCACCGGTATTACCGTAATTTGTATTCCATCTTCACTGAGTCTGTCCCCCACTGGTATTACCAGAGTTTGTACTACGCCCTCAGTGAGTCTGTCCCCTACCGGTATTACCACAGTATGTACTCCGTCCTCAGTGAGTCTGACCTCACCAGTATTACCAGAGTTTGTACTATTACCGTAATTTGTATTCCGTCCTCAGTGAGTCTGTCCCCCACAGGTATTACCAGAGTTTGTACTACGCAGGGAGTCTGTGTGTCCCCTACCGTTATTACCACAGTATGTACTCCGTCCTCAGTGAGTCTGACCTCACCAGTATTACCAGAGTTTGTACTCCGTCCTCAATGAGTCTGACCCCACTGGTATTACCAGAGTATATGTACTACGCCCTCAGTGCGTCTGTGCCCCACTGGTATTACCAGAGTTTGTACTACGCCCTCAGGGAGTCTGTGCCCCACCGGTATTACCAGAGTTTGTACTACGCCCTCAGGGAGTCTGTGCCCCACCGGTATTACCAGAGTTTGTACTATGCCCTCAGTGAGTCTGTCCCCTACCGGTATTTCCAGAGTTTGTACTACGCCCTCAGTGAGTCTGTACCCTACCGGTATTACCACAGTATGTACTCCGTCCTCAGTGAGTCTGTCCCCACTGGTATTACCAGAGTTTGTACTACACCCTCAGTGAGTCTGTACCCTACCGGTATTACCACAGTATGTACTCCGTCCTCAGTGAGTCTGACCCTACCGGTATTACCAGAGTTTGTACTCCATCCTCAGTGAGTCTGACCCACTGGTATTACCAGAGTATGTACTACGCCCGCAGTGAGTCTGTCCCCTACCGGTATTACCACAGTATGTACTCCATCCTCAGTGAGTCTGACCCCACCGGTATTACCAGAGTTTGTACTACGCCCGCAGTGAGTCTGTCCCCCACCGGTATTACCAGAGTTTGTACTACGCCCTCAGTGAGTCTGTCCCCTACCGGTATTACCACAGTATGTACTCTGTCCTCAGTGAGTCTGACCCCACTGGTATTACCAGAGTAAATGTACTACGCCCTCAGTGAGTCTGTCCCCTACCGGTATTACCACAGTTTGTACTCCGTCCTCAGTGAGTCTGACCCCACTGGTATTACCAGAGTTTGTACTACGCCCTCAGTGAGTCTGTCCCCTACTGGTATTACCACAGTTTGTACTCTGTCCTCAGTGAGTCTGTCCCCTACCGGTATTACCACAGTTTGTACTCCGCCCTCAGTGAGTCTGTCCCCTACCGGTATTACCACAGTATGTACTCCGTCCTCAGTTAGTCTGACCCCACTGGTATTACCAGAGTTTGTACTCCGTCCTCAGTGAGTCTGACCCCACTGGTATTACCACAGTATGTACTCCGTCCTCAGTTAGTCTGACCCCACTGGTATTACCAGAGTATGTACTCCGTCCTCAGTGAGTCTGTCCCCACCGGTATTACCAGAGTATGTACTCCATCCTCAGTGAGTAAGTCCATCTATCACATTGTCCAGGGAATATCTTGCGTACTCCGTCTTTAATCCTAAAGTTTGATCTCATTCCCCACTATACATATATGATCCTTTGCTCATTTTTGATACGAAATGTCCAGATGTGGAGAACACTTTTCCTTGTTAGATATCCTGAACTTTGTTACAAGATTATTTTTTTATTCACTACTGGTAACTATACATTTCCAGGAATTTAACCTTCATGCTTAAACTTACATCAATGCAGAAAAAACTTTTGATGTGGAAAAAACTAACTCCTGATGCATTGATATCATTGCACTTTTTAGATATAGTATTACGCTTCCCCAGGTAGATGTTTTACCAATACAGGACAAGGTCAGAGGGGGATAGTGAGAGCTATTTGTTCTCATACAGATAAATACCAAAAGACAATAGTATAATCTTCATTATAATCAGGTGCTAACTGGAGTTAAGGCACTATGAAAATAGTCATTAACTCATTCACCCCTGAAATTTCATAATGAACTATTCCAGCCTTTGAATTGGGAGAGTTCAAATTTGTCTTCAGGGGTGAATGAGTTAAGAATCATAAGTGTTAACAAATCGGAAGATCATTTAATATTAGTGTTTACCAGCTTTTAGAACCATATGGACAGCAATGTTCAGTAGTGTTAATGCATGGATTGACATATGACATGATTCAGCATCTTGATGTTGTAAAATCCAGCTGTCCTGTAATTTGTATACGTTGTTGTTGTGATCTATATAAACCTTGTTCAGAGAGCAACGTGAACTGCCTGTATGGTCCAATAATTCACAATAAGACAAAGAAATTGGTTCATTGTTAACATCTAAGTTTAAAGGTTTGTTTATCAGCTTATATTTATGCTTCTTTGCATTTGATAATAGCTATCCTCAGATTGTGATCGTTCTATATTTAGTTATCAGTTAATGACACACATCTGGTAACTTTTGATGTCTGATAGTAATTAGTTCTTCATTTCTTTGATCAATAAAGAATTATTATGGAACAAAATAATTTAAGAAGTTATTTATATCAACACCAGCCAGGAATGTCCAGTTTATTTTAAAATTCCTAATTTGCACAAATTCAGATGCTTTCTTTAAGATATCTATATGTTGAAATTGATAAGTATCACATTTTTGCTTAATCAAATTAAACATCCAATAGAAAGCTGTATTAAATATGTGTTTTAGATTTAACTTACTCTCTCTCCATTTATAACTAGTGTGGGTTCCTCTCTTCTTAAACTAAGATCAATCCTCCATGGAATTTTGACAATGTGAATTGTTTTCTTCTAGCCCTCAGAGTTACCTCCCCCTGTTACAAAGCTTGACTACTGTGTGAAAGAAATTCACGACACGGAGAAGAACTACGTAGATGCTTTGACCATGTTGGTGCAGGTTAGTATTGTTGTACACAAGCTGTGATCTAGGAAGTCTAAATACTTGCCAATAGGAAAATAAGATTGTAAGATAACATGCTGGAGGAATGATTGGCAAATGTCTAATGCTAATGTTTGTGATTGGAACTCTTTGGTGACTAATTTTGCCACTAAACCTATTCTTTTAATACATTTCCAATGTAAATATACTTCACAAGTCTAAACTTTTGGGTTATTGGTGATCTCACACTAGTTTTCACTCCTTTGATGTTAATGACATTACACAATTTCTTACATGTGATTGAGTACCAACCCATTGATGTTAATGACATTACACAATTTCTTAAGTGTGATTGACTACTGATCCGTTTAATCACAGCACTTCACAAAGCCACTGAGGGATGTGATACCGGCTACAGACCGCGATGTGATATTTGCACACATAGAGGTGAGATTTTCAATATTTCGACCCACATAGACGATTTAGACCTATATCATTTTAGGATAAAATCAAATATCCTTGATTGTTTAGCAATTACATACTTACTTGACAGATCTTTCTTAGATATTATATATATAGGTTCCCTTTAGTCTGAAGTTGCGCATGTTTTATTTTGAGACTATCGGTAATCGTTGGGCAGCCATCTTGGATTTTGACAGTTGAGAAAGGTTATCACTATTTCCCATGAAGCCCGGCAGACATCTTGGATATGACTGTTGACATTTTTAATAGCTATTTCTCAGAAAAGGAAATTTCAGTCTCAATTTAAATAAGTAATGTGGTTCCTCATGTTCTGTAGTTTTGCATATATTCCACTTTGAGCTTTAAGCAGCTTGATCAAAAAAAGAAAAATCAGACTACCAGAAATCAGGAAACTCTTTCATTACATATTAATTTCTGTATGAATGCTAGGAAATAGTCAACCTTCAATCTCATCTAAAAAGGACCATGTACAGTGTATTTTTTAGGAGAGACACAAAATTAGGGAGGGGGCTTAATTGCAAGCACCCAACCTGTTCTCTGGACATTTGCCAAAGTGGGGCATATTTGCGGTCAAATATTTTGAAAAACATTTTAAATCTTAAGTACTTCTTACTGAAATGAGGTGATTTACTGCATGTGTTCCTGTTTTCTTGTCCAGAAAATGTTAGAGATTCATACAGCCCTATTGGTGGAGCTGCAGCAAGCCTGTCAAGTTGCATGTTCTGTCGCAACTGGTTCGGGTAGCAAAATTGCTGAGGTTTTCATCAAGTGGAAGTCAAAGCTACTCGTATATGGCGACTACTGTTCAAACCTACCGAAGGCACAGGAAAAAATAGATGACATTCTTAAGCGAAATGACACAACGGTTAAAGCACAAGTAGAGGTGAGTTTAGTTTGGATTAAAAAAATTCAAGATAAGTTGAGACTGTATAGCAAAATATTTTTGTTGCAAAAATGTTGGTAATGTTATCTTAAAATTAAATTTTTGGAATCTGTTATACATACTATAGACTTTTTACATGTCAATTTTTGCCTTAAAATCCATTGATTGAAGGTACATATCGGACGCGCTAATATGAAGCCGGTAAAAACGTAACTATGTAAATGTGTAAAGTTACATTTTGTCAATATTACATATACTCATACCTCAAAGAGTGATAGTTGGCTAGCATATTCACTAATGAGAATAAAATATATCTGATAACAAAACATGATTAATCAAGATTTATTTTTTTCCGTAAAGATGGTTGTTTACATTACATTTTATCTGTGAGCTGCAGTCCATGACCTTTTGCCTTTTCAGTGTTCAGCAATACAATTCAATTCATTTGATGAATATTGCCAGTTTGCTAGGTGTTCAAAATTTACAAACTTAAGATTTTTCAGTCCTGTCAATGTACATATCTGTGAGTTTTGTATTTGTTTGTCCTGTTCATGTACATATCTGTGAGTTTTGTATTTTTTTTGTCTGTGAGTATTGTATTTTTCAGACCTGTGAAAAACGTGCAAATGAGGGCAAGTTTAAGCTACGTGATTTATTACATGTTCCTATGCAGCGGGTCCTGAAGTATCATCTCCTTCTTCGGGTAAGCTATATCTTCTCTTGCTCTCATTTCCAGTTATTATAAATAATTAAAAAAGAATAACAGATGTTTTTGTCCAAACCAGGTATTTTTAAGTATGTGCATTTTGATCACAAAGGAATAATGTTAATACCTTACAAAAGCAAAACGGAAAGAAATATTTTAATGGTATCTAGTATACATGAATGTTAGACCAAGGCTCAATACCATCTAGTTACCACTACAAGGAAAACTGATTCTTTTGCTTTAGACAAAAAACAGAATCTTATCTAGATGATTTTAAATAAGATTTTGTAATATCAAGTTACTATTAAATGAACATTGAATCATCTAGTTACTGTAAGATAAAGGCTTGGACATATCTAGTTACTGTGAGATAAACGCTTGGACATGTCTAGTTACTGTGAGATAAACGCTTGGACATGTCTAGTCACTGTGTGATAAACGCTTGGACATATCTAGTTACTGTGAGATCAAGGCTTGGACATGTCTAGTTACTGTGTGATAAAGGCTTGGCCATATCTAGTTATTGTCAGATGAAGAGTGAGCCATATCCAGCTACTGTTGGATGAAGAGTGAATCATATTTAGATATTGTCAGATAAAGGCTTGGACATATCAAGTTATTGTCGGATGGAAAGTGAGCACTATCCTGTTACTGTTGGATGAAGAGTGAATCATATTTAGATATTGTCAGATAAAGGCTTGGACATATCCAGTTATTGTCAGATGGAAAGTGAGCACTATCCTGTTACTGTTGGATGAAGAGTGAATCATATTTAGATATTGTCAGATAAAGGCTTGGACATATCAAGTTATTGTCAGATTGAAAGTGAGCACTATCCTTTTACTGTTGGATGAAGAGGGAATCATATCGAGATATTGTCAGATAAAGGCGTGGACATATCAAGTAATTGTCAGATGAAGAGTGAGCCATATCCAGCTACTGTTGGATGAGGAGTGAATCATATCTAGATATTGTCAGATAAAGTCTTGGACGTATCAAGTTATTGTCAGATGGAAAGTGAGCACTATCCTGTTCCTGTTGGATGAAGAGGGAATCATATCGAGATATTGTCAGATAATGGCTTTGACATATCAAGTTATTGTCAGATTGAAAGGGAGCACTATCCTTTTACTGTTGGATGAAGAGTGAATCATATCTAGATATTGTCAGATAATGGCATGGACATATCTAGTTATTGTCAGATAAAGGCTTGGCCCTATCTAGTTATTGTCAGATGAAGAGTGAGCCATATCCAGCTACTGTTGGATGAGGAGTGAATCATATCTAGATATTGTCAGATAAAGTCTTGGACGTATCAAGTTATTGTCAGATGGAAAGTGAGCACTATCCTGTACCTGTTGGATGAAGAGTGAATCATATTTAGATATTGTCAGATAAAGGCTTGGACATATCCAGTTATTGTCAGATGGAAAGTGAGCACTATCCGGTTACTGTTGGATGAAGAGTGAATCATATTTAGATATTGTCAGATAAAGGCTTGGACATATCCAGTTATTGTCAGATGGAAAGTGAGCACTATCCTGTTCCTGTTGGATGAAGAGGGAATCATATCGAGATATTGTCAGATAATGGCTTTGACATATCAAGTTATTGTCAGATTGAAAGGGAGCACTATCCTTTTACTGTTGGATGAGGAGTGAATCATATCTAGATATTGTCAGATAATGGCATGGACATATCAAGTAATTGTCAGATGAAGAGTGAGCCATATCCAGCTACTGTTGGATGAAGAGTGAATCATATTTAGATATTGTCAGATAAAGGCTTGGACATATCAAGTTATTGTCAGATGGAAAGTGAGCACTATCCTGTACCTGTTGGATGAAGAGTGAATCATATTTAGATATTGTCAGATAAAGGCTTGGACATATCCAGTTATTGTCAGATGGAAAGTGAGCACTATCCTTTTACTGTTGGATGAGGAGTGAATCATATCGAGATATTGTCAGATAATGGCTTTGACATATCAAGTTATTGTCAGATTGAAAGGGAGCACTATCCTTTTACTGTTGGATGAAGTGTGAATCATATCAAGATATTGTCAGATAATGGCTTGGACATATCTAGTTATTGTCAGATGGAAAGTGAGCACTATCCGGTTACTGTTGGATGAAGAGTGAATCATATCTAGATATTGTCAGATAATGGCATGGACATATCAAGTAATTGTCAGATGAAGAGTGAGCCATATCCAGCTACTGTTGGATGAGGAGTGAATCATATCGAGATATTGTCAGATAATGGCTTGGACATATCAAGTTATTGTCGGATGGAAAGTGAGCACTATCCTGTTACTGTTGGATGAAGAGTGAATCATATCTAGATATTGTCAGATAATGGCTTGGACATATCAAGTTATTTTCAGATTGAAAGTGAGCACTATCCTTTTACTGTTGGATGAAGTGTGAATCATATCAAGATATTGTCAGATAATGGCTTGGACATATCAAGTGATTGTCAGATTGAAAGTGAGCACTATCCTTTTACTGTTGGATGAGGAGTGAATCATATCTAGATATTGTCAGATAAAGGCTTGGACATATCAAGTTATTGTCGGATGGAAAGTGAGCACTATCCTGTTCCTGTTGGATGAAGAATGAATCATATCGAGATATTGTCAGATAAAGGCTTGGACATATCAAGTAATTGTCAGATGAAGAGTGAGCCATATCCAGCTACTGTTGGATGAGGAGTGAATCATATCGAGATATTGTCAGATAAAGGCGTGGACATATCAAGTAATTGTCAGATGAAGAGTGAGCCATATCCAGCTACTGTTGGATGAAGAGTGAATCATATTTAGATATTGTCAGATAAAGGCTTGGACATATCAAGTAATTGTCAGATGAAGAGTGAGCCATATCCAGCTACTGTTGGATGAGGAGTGAATCATATCGAGATATTGTCAGATAATGGCTTGGACATATCAAGTGATTGTCAGATTGAAAGTGAGCACTATCCTTTTACTGTTGGATGAGGAGTGAATCATATCGAGATATTGTCAGATAAAGGCTTGGACATATCAAGTTATTGTCGGATGGAAAGTGAGCACTATCCTGTTACTGTTGGATGAAGAGTGAATCATATCGAGATATTGTCAGATAATGGCTTGGACATATCAAGTTATTGTCAGATTGAAAGTGAGCACTATCCTTTTACTGTTGGATGAAGAGTGAATCATATCGAGATATTGTCAGATAAAGGCTTGGACATATCAAGTTATTGTCAGATAGAAAGTGAGCACTATCCTGTTCCTGTTGGGTGAAGAGTGAATCATATCGAGATGTTGTCAGATAATGGCTTTGACATATCAAGTTATTGTCAGATGGAAAGTGAGCACTATCCGGTTACTGTTGGATGAAGAGTGAATCATATCTAGATATTGTCAGATAAAGTCTTGGACATATCAAGTTATTGTCAGATGGAAAGTGAGCACTATCCTGTTACTGTTACTTGTTTTAGGAGCTAATGCGACAGACGAACAAGAATTCAGAAGACATCCGTACACTTGAGGCTGGCCTCGAGGCTATGATGGTGCGTCCCTTTGGTTCTTTTTAATTTCTGTTTAATATAGAATTCACTTTCCATTCTATGATAATGTTCTTTTTTGCTGTTATTTTTAAAAGTTGTAACAATCATATTTGATTACATGTATTGTGAAATATATATGCTGGATTTCTGCTAGGTACATCCCAATTGATTCATAGCGGGCACAAAGTAATTAAGTAGAAAAAATAATAATATAATAATCGTCATATTGTTAAAGGGACTATAATGGTAAATATCACTGTTAAAAAATATAAAGAGTGTCATTTTCAGAAAATATGGCACAAAACTGACACTTTCTCTTAATAGCACTAATTAAAAGTGTCTGCCAACATATTTGATAATTGCATATAATGCTCTCATTTTAATTCAACGTTCCGCTTGTATTGCATAATATTTAGTCTTGTACGAGTAGTACTGCGCATGCGTTTGTCCGAAAAAAATAATAACAGGGCGCAGCTATGCGAAGCCAGCTGGAGTCTTTGGTGACGAAGATGGCAAAGTAAACAGGGAGATTAAAGACCTTAAAAGAGGCAAGCCAAGAGGGTTACACAGAAATGCAGGAGACACATCTAGGAACAGACAAAATAAAATTTGATTCCGACTTTCCACATAAATATATATATGCATCTCTGATCCCCTTTTGGGCTTCTGCTAGCTAAATTTCGTCGCCAGCAATCGATGACTTGAACTATTTAAAATACGATAATCATCTGTGGTAATTGTGTTTTACAATGAACCAGGATTATTTTATGATAAAATAATAGTATATAGCAACAAGACATGCATCAGAAAGGAGAAACAAGGTGTAAAACATGACACACATGTCTTTGTTTACATACACCTCGGTTTCCATTTTTGCTGTGACAGGGCAAGACAGAATTGCCACGTGACGGACCATGTGATCTATTCGGTAGTCTTCGACGTAAACGAGCATGGCACCGTATACAAACAGCAGCCGAGAAACACACAATTTCAATCCCAGAAAATGTGTCCATATACACCAAAGTTGACAGTATGGCCGCGTAAATCTCTTTAATTTTTGCCGACTTAAGCATTTATAGCACTAATTTCCTTTTTCCTGAGTATGAAATGTGCAAAATAATACTTTGAGTCACTTGGGATAATTAAGTTATTATAGTACCTGAGGGGTAATTAAGCACAATCAGAATGTTTATCATAAATTTGGGGAAAACAATGTGAAAGATATTTTCATGATTTGATGGTGCCTTTTTGTATGTCTATAGGATTTGTCGCTGTATGTGAATGAAGTTAAAAGGGACAACGAAACACTGTCCTTGATAGCAGAGATACAGAACAGGTAGGTATAGGAGATACAGAAATGGTAGATATCAGATATCGGAGATACAGGAAAGGTAGATATCAGAAACAGAACAAGTGATATAAGAAATACAAAAAAGGTAGATATCAGAAATACAGAAATGGTAGATATCAGATATCAGAGATACATGAAAGGTAGATATCAGATACAGAACAAGTGATATCAGAAATACAAAAAAGGTAGATATCAGAGATACAGAAATGGTAGATATCAGATATCAGAGATACATGAAAGGTAGATATCATTTACAAGATATACAAAAAAAGGGTAGATATCAGATATTACATACAGAAAAGGTAGATATCAGATACAGAAAAGGTAGATATAAGATATCAGATATACAGAAAAGGTAGATAACAGATATCAAAAATATAAAACAGGTAGATATCTGTGATATAGGAATGGTAGATATTATATCAGATATACAGAAAAAGAGAAGATATCAGTGATACAGAACAGGTAGATATCAGATATCAGAGATACAGAACAGGTAGATATCGGATATCAGAGATACAGAACAGGTAGAGATCAGATATCGGAGATACAGAACAGGTAGATATCAGAGATACAGAACAGGTAGATATCAGATATCAGAGATACAGAACAGGTAGATATCTGATGTCAGAGATACAGAACAGGTAGATATCAGATATCAGAGATACAGAACAGGCATATATCAGAGATACAGAACAGGTAGATATCTGATGTCAGAGATACAGCACAGGTAGATATCAGATACCAGAGATACAGAACAGGCATATATCAGAAATACAGAACAGGTAGATATCAGATATCAGAGATACAGAACAGGTAGATATCTGATATCAAAGATACAGAACAGGTAGATATCAGATATTAGAGATACAGAACAGGTAGATATCAGATATCAAAGATACAGAACAGGTAGATATCAGAGATACAGAACAGGTAGATATCAGATATCAGAGATACAGAACAGGTAGATATCAGATATACTTACATTTTTTTTATACTTGGCTGGTATGAAAAACAAAAGTTTATTGAATATGGTTAACTTGCACGTAAAATGTACAATTTCATTAAATAGATAAAAATGATAATTTCAACCCCTTTCGAGAGCTGTGTTTTTGTCTGAGTGTTTTTACTTTTTAATAATCCCCTATGTATTATTTTACCCAACTTTTGATTATTTATTTTTCAGTATTGGTGATTTACAAATGGTGAGTAACCTTGTTTATGTTTGTGAAGTTTAGCCCTTAAAAAAGTTATCGTATTTGTTAAAGTAATTTAAGGGGAAATAATCAACATCCAATAAGTTACAAGAATGTTTCCATTCTTCTAGGTTTTCAAAATGTCTAGTATACATCATATTTGTAAAACATGTATTGATTCTGAATTAAAATCCAGTGCTTAGTTCCATTTGTATCTCACACATTGTGACAAGGATTATTGGTTTACTTACATAGAGACAACGGAGGAAAGCTTTCACATGAAATTTCTCCTTTGATTTAAATTGCTATTGTCAACCTTTGTTATCCAGGAAGACATTTAAACATAGTAGTGTGTGGGAATGAATGAGTTGTTTGTTACAGCCTGCACAAACCTCACTTAAGGACTATGGCAGACTTCAGAAGGACGGTGAGCTGAGGGTGCGGGCCCATACAGAAAACAAAACAAAAACTAGGTGGGTGATGGTTGGATGTGCGTACATGCCATATCTTTCTTGTGCAAAATAGTGAGATCAGTGAACATTTTTAGTGAGTTTTGATCAAAGATGGTGAAATCGTTTCTCTTAATTAGTGAGAAATTTGTGAGACATTTAAAACATAGCGTTATCTCAATGATGTTGAGTGTTTCTGCAGCCTACACATACCTTGTTGAAAGCATTTTGGAGATAAATGGTTATTTTAAGGAATTTTAGGGAGATGTAAAGATTGGGTTAAGAGAAAGGTTTGTAGTAGGTTGGATGGGTGGGAGGTGGGGGGGGTCTTATGTTAGTGTTGTACGCTCATAGTTCCAGTGAGCTTATGTCATTGTGCGTCATCTGTTGTCCATCCATCTGTCATCATTTTTTACCTTTTAAAACCCTAATAGTCAAGAACAACTAAATATTTTGAATTATTTAGTTATAGGAAATCAATCTGCTTACTACAATACAATTTCAAGGAATTTACAAATTTTGTTTTAAATGCAGCTTTTCTGATTGATGTATAATTTTCGGATTTTCATGTTTAAATAAATAAATGTATTAATACAATTTTGTATTTTGTTTAAAATTGCAGATATATTTTCCTTTTTGATAAAGTCATGCTCATGTGCAAATCAAAGGTAAGTCATAACATAATGAATGCTGTTTTTCCTACTTTTCCTATTGTTTTGACAAATTGTGGTTTTCTTCAGTTAGTGGTTTGATCCTTCTTTGTTCGATTCCTAACTTTTGTTTTTGGTGGGTGTTCAGTATTAACTATAGTTCAAAGTTTCATAACAATTTCATAATGTTTCATCATTCAATACATTAATGTATTACTTGCACCTGTTTATTCTACTTATACATTTGAATGATTTCTATCAATATTGGTACTTAACTTTAAATGAATAATATTTCGTGTTAATAGTGATCAAACTGCTAGATGTTTAGTTAGATTCTGTTGAATGAAACATGCCTTCCTCTGCAGTAGTCATGGCTGGAACAGACAGATATATGCTTCAAGTAGATAGATGGAGGGCACAGGGGGTTTAGAGGTTAAAGATCATAGTTTGCAAACTCTTTCATGTAAATAGGTCACAGCTTGTTAATTTGAGGTAACAGTGATTAAGACGAAATAATTATTGTAACATCATACCTGCCTGCATAAAATATTTAGACATCTCTTCCCTGAATGGTATTATAAATTATTGGTAATTTAAAATTGAGATGGAATATCAGAAAAAAGGAAGCTAATATGTGGTAAGTTAAGATATAGGGAAACTATACAATGCNGGGAAAACACACAAAGTCATGTACATAGCGGCTCACTGGCTGTTGGGAAACTATACAATGCCTCAGTGGCTATGGGAAAACACACAAAGTCATGTACATAGCGGCTCACTGGCTGTTGGGAAACTATACAATGCCTCAGTGGCTATGGGAAAACACACAAAGTCATGTACATAGCGGCTCACTGGCTGTTGGGAAACTATACAATGCCTCAGTGGCTATGGGAAAACACACAAAGTCATGTACATAGCGGCTCACTGGCTGTTGGGAAACTATACAATGCTTCAGTGGCTATGGGGAAACACACAAAGTCATGTACATAGCGGCTCACTGGCTGTTGGGAAATACAGGTCTGTACTGTGTTTTATTGGGTATTGGGAAACCTCAAGTCATTACAAACACGACTAATTTGAAAGTTGTTTAAACCAAAAAATCAATACCGGTATTTTATTTTCTTCTCTGTGTGAAATAGTTTAATATTTTTTGACAATAATCGTACATGTGCAACAGATTTGTTTGGTTTTCCATACAACTATAACTAGCACACCACACCTGACAGCCAATGTTGGTTTATCTGTCTAACGGTATTATGTTACATGCGTAATGGTTACTTTACAATAGGAATGGTAATGATGTAGCAAATCCATTGAGAATGAAATCAGCACAACTCTTTACAAGTAAGCAGTGTACAGTGTAACCTGTCTAAACCGTACTGGGACAGAAACATTTGGCTAGTTAGTTATACAGGGCCTGGTTTATACAGAGTCAGTGAGGTTTGGTGTCAACACTGGGATATATATACCTATATGTAAATAATCATACTTTGAAATGTAGTGCTGATCATGATATGACAAAGATAGTAATAATACAGAAAGTAGTCATTATCCGTGTTTAACTATTTACAATCATTCAATTCATCGTTTAATTATTAGCTCATTTAGTTCAAATGAATGACCTTGACCCACTTTCAAGGTCACAGGGGTCAAATGTTTTAAAATCTTCAAACAACTTCTTCTCAATAACCGAAAGGCCCAGGGTACTGATATTGGGGCTGTAGCATGCTGGGATGAAGGGCTACCAAGTTTGTTCAAAAGAATGACCTTGACCCACTTTCAAGGTCGCAGGGGTCAAATGTTTTAAAATCTTCAAATGACTTCTTCTGAATAACCGAAAGGCCAAGGGTACTGATATTGGGCCTGTAGCATGCTGGGATGAAGAGCTACCAAGTGTGTTCAAATGAATGACCTTGACAAACTTTTATGTAAAAAATATAATCAACAATGGTCTTCTGAGTATAAAAATTAAAGGTAGCTAGACTAGGATTTGAGCCCTGGACCTGAAATTGTTATACTGCATGTGGCTGGGGATGCTACTGTGTATACGAAAAAGCATTGTTGGAGTTCTCAAGTGTTTTGCATGTAGTGGGACAGAGATCCTTGAGAGAAGAAATTTCAAGATGAAATACTAAAGTGGATTTAGACAGGGATCCAGATTAGACAGTGGCTTGTTCAGACAGGGATCCAGATTAGACAGGGGCTAGTTTAGACAGGGGCGAGTTTAGACAGGGACCATTTTAGGAAGGGGCTAGTTTAGACAGACCATTTTAGGCAGGGGCTAGTTTAGACAGGGACCATTTTAGGCAGGGGCTAGTTTAGATGGACCATTTTAGGCAGGGGCTAGTTTAGACAGGGACCATTTTAGGCAGGGGCTAGTTTAGACAGGGACCAGTTTAGACAGGGACCAGTTTAGGCAGGGACTAGTTTAGACAGGTACCAGTTTAGGCAGGGGCTAGTTTAGACAGGGACCAGTTTAGACAGGTTATGTTGTATAAGCAAATGCAGGTCTATTGTGAAGAGATTTTCTTTATATGTTGATCCTATACAATATACTTGGATATGAAATTTAAAATTACAAAGTGCCTATTTCGGTTGATAAAAGTAGTATGTTAGGGTATTACTTGGTTAATACATGATATATGGTATGCTCATTGTATATTTTGTGATTTAATGTGTGTTATGAAGCCCGTAGCTCACTTGTTTTCTTTTTACCTTTTTTTGTGCTTACCACTTAATCAGATGGTGGATAAATTTTTGTGGGTAAGGCTACATTAATGACTGCTGATCGCCACATCCTGCGATGTGTAACCATGGATATTGTGATCTGTATAATGCATATATGTCTCTCTGACTGTCTGGGCGAATGTTGTGCATCATGTGATAACTTACTGACTCCATTGTATAGTTAGACCAAGACAAGCTACTCTCCCACACTGCCACAAAAATTTATCTTCAACTCTGATACACATTTCAGTGTTTTGAAGTTTGTAGTTTGTATTTGAGACTTGTGTTGTGTAATGTCATGAATGACTTCATGTAAATCTTTGTGTAAACCTTACAGTCTTTCCTCCGTATCTTTCTATGCAAACACTTTCTACCTCATCTCTAACATATAACGTTGTTCAACCAATCAAAATTTGACTTTGCTCACAATCGAAGATTGACATTGATTGAGCTGTTATTCTCTGAAGATTTTCATTGGTTGAGGTGTAATTCTCTGAAGATTTTCATTGGTTGAGCCAGAGTTATAAGTGTTGTGGTAATGCCATTCCTGATAAATAAGGGCATCCATGATTTTTCATAATCAAGTTTCTAATTTCTCGTTAGTGATACATATATAAATATATGATTTGTTTTTATGAAGTGTTGTCCGTCTGTTTTAAATGTTGAAATATTTACAGAATATGTATTAGTTTCAAAATCTATGTTATTCTATGATAATTATCAACATTAACAGTGTGTGATTCTGTGTGTAACAGTCAGTTAAAAAGTTTCACAGTGATATAAAAAACAGTTATACCAAATGAAAAGATTTTCCAAAGAATTTTGTCTGAAAAGTAAGTTTTAGATATGTCCCGCTGAAAAGCAATACATGTACTAAAAATGAAAACACATCATTTGCATACAGGTATCAATATACAGTTGTTTCATGCCTTATCAGTTATTAGTCAAATTATTTCCCTGAGGTGTTGGGATCAACTTGATGAACTGTTTTCTGTCACAGGTTGATTCTGTCAACTGCTGAACCTTTTTAATGTTATAATTTTATCAGACTAAATTTCATTGGCTGCTGTGTATTGCAGTCAGTCAATCAAATTTGCAAGGCATAAGTCAAAACAATTGACCAGGAAACAGTTTTGACTATTTCACTTGTGTTTATTTCTGAGAAACAGTTAAAATAGTTCATAAATGTATTGAAATAGGGAGTATTAAACTCTGTTATAAGCCAAAAAAAATCTTGTTTTATCCAGTCTAGACTATAGTTGAACTTTACATAAGGCAATACACCATTTCACAGATACCGCTCAGATTTTCTTGTTCAGAAAGTAATAAGGATAACAGATTTGAGGAGTATGGCAAGTGTGGGCGAGTAACTTATGTAATCCTTCCTACATCAGAGATAGGGAAAGAATAGCTAATGGAATACTTCCTGTGTAAGAGATTAAGATCAGCTTTGTAATGTTTTCCTTCCTGTGTTAGAGATTGGGAATGTAAGATCTTCCGGTAATGGAATCCTTCCTGTGTTAGAGATTGGGAATGTAAGATCTACCGGTAATGGAATCCTTCCTGTGTTTGAGATTGGGAAAGTATTAGCTTCTGGTAATGGAATCCTTCCTGTGTTAGAGATTGGGAAAGAAGTAGCTACCGGTAATGAAATCCTTAGGCATTTGTAAAACTTTCTAGAGATTCGGAAAATAGTACCTACCGGTAGTGGAATCTTTCATGTATAAGAGATTCAGAAAGTAGTAGCTGCCAGTAATGGAATCCTGTGTTAGAGATTGGGATCGTAGCTGTTGTAACTCTTTCAGTGTAAGAGATTGACAGAGTGGTGTTGGAGAGAAGCTTATGCCATCCTTTCTGTGTCAACACTATAAGGAACATTTACATTGGGAAAATTATTATAATTATCTATTTGTATGTATGGTGTTGTGATCACCACACAGAGGAACCCATCATAGAGTCTTTGGTTATAAACAAATATTTATTTTACAACAAAAACAATGTTTCTAACTTAAATCTATCACTCTTATTGGCCCGGATGGAAGTGCACAGGTGGTCTTAATATGGAAAACCGACAAAGTAGAGCAGGTGATCAGTCCCTTTCACATCCTATCAGGGAATCTAACCCTGGCCATTCAAGTGATAGGCACTATCCACTGGGCCACCCAGCTACCCGTGACTTTGTTCAGATGGAACTTTATTTGCCCCACCTCAACGTTGAATATGAAAGTCACGAATATCTGAACTGGAACAAGCTGTTGTGACTTAATTCAGTGACCTCTCGTTCATTAACTACATTTTTCTAAATCCTGATGAGGAAGTGCAATAAAAAACATTGGAGTTTAAAATGTTCAGGATCCAGTTTTCTGACATTGTGAAATGTAACATTATGTCAGTAAGATAACTTTGAATAAAATCTAATCGCAAAACACAGTCAGCAGTTGACATCGCCTCATGAAATAATAATCAAACAAGCTTGCTATGAAGCTTTCGCTGACTGCTTTAATTTAGCCATACCAGTCTTACTTTTTGCTTCTCTTTCCAAACATTTTATGAAAATCCCGCTTATGAGATGAGAGAAAATAGTTGATCATTATATAGGTATAACCTGCTCACTAGGTCACTAAGTTATACCTATTGTGGAAACCGACATTTGACTCACTGTTGGCATGCAACAATCAACAGTCTATGTCACTCAATACTCTTGGGAGTTACTCATGTTTAAGTGAGAATAAAAATGCATTATGAATGATAATTACATTTTTGACAATCTAGATGTGAAGTTACCCATCAAATTTCCATATTAAAGCTATGCTAATTTTTGTTATTGTATACAGAATAATAAAGACATTGATGTAATGCTATAACACTTCTATCATCGACTTCGAAGGTCATTAATTCTATCAATGGTCAGGTGGCCAAGACTTACAATGATAAGGAGTTTGAAGTATACCTGTTTGTTTTATATGATGGGTTCCTTTGTGTGTAGCTTTTTGTGTTGTAAACCTGTTTTTTAAACCTTTATTACCTGGGACTCTGGTGTTCCCCTCAAATCTAGGTGGATTTTTTTTGTCTCGGACTGTGTTAACGATTGATGTACCTACAATTCTGAGATATGGACTTTTATATGCAGAATTTGTGGATGTATTACATCAGCTAGGTAGGATGACTCATTATATGTATATGTAAAAATTAACAGGCCAGGCCTATCTGCTTGGTGTATAGTACTATCTCAGAACACCTGTATGGGTGTGATTTGTCGGATAATTTTAGTTGAACTTGCTGCCATCTATTGGCTTGCATTCTTATCTAAATGGTTAATAAATTTCCTTTAAAAATTCTTTAATTCATCTTAAGACTTTATGCAATGCATTTGTTTAGTATTGAGCATTCATTCTGAATAATGCTGTGCCAACATCTAACATTCTTGCCATACCTTTATCTTGCCTTGTTATGTTTCGAGCTACTTACTTTCTTCATTATAGTTTGGAGACATCCCTTAATTTGCCTCCTTATGTTTAGAGATCCTTATGTTTAGAGATATATATATTTGCCTCCTAACTGTCTGAGACATCATTTTGCCTCTTTATGGTTTGGAAACATTTGTTCTGCCTCCCTGTGGTTTGGAAACATTTGTTCTGCCTCCCTGTGGTTTGGAAACATTTGTTCTGTCTCCCTGTGGTTTGGAGACATTTGTTCTGCCTCCCTGTGGTTTGGAGACATTTGTTCTGCCTCCCTGTGGTTTGGAGACATTTGTTCTGCCTCCCTGTGGTTTGGAAACATTTGTTCTGCCTCCCTGTGGTTTGGAAACATTTGTTCTGCCTCCCTGTGGTTTGGAGACATTTGTTCTGCCTCCCTGTGGTTTGGAGACATTTGTTCTGCCTCCCTGTGGTTTGGAGACATTTGTTCTGCCTCCCTGTGGTTTGGAGACATTTGTTCTGCCTCCCTGTGGTTTGGAGACATTTGTTCTGCCTCCCTGTGGTTTGGAGACATTTGTTCTGCCTCCCTGTGGTTTGGAGACATTTGTTCTGCCTCCCTGTTGTTTGGAGATATCCCCTTGCCACCTTATGATTTAAGAGACATCTGTTTTTTGCTTTCTAGTGGTTTAGAGACATGATTTTGAGATCTTCCCTTTCCTCTATATGGTTGAAACATAAATTTGCCTCCTTATAGTTATGGAGACATCCCCATGCATTCTCATGGTTTGGAGACGACATCCGCTTGTTTTGTTATGGTTTGGAGACATCCCCTTGCTTTCTTATGGTTTGGAGACGACATTCCCTTGCTTTCTTATGGTTTGGAGACGACATCCCTTTGCTTTCTTATGGTTTGGAGACGACATCCCCTTGTTTTCTTATGGTTTGAAGACATCCCCTTGCTTTCTTATGGTTTGGAGACGACATCCCCTTGCTTTCTTATGGTTTGGAGACGACATCCCGTTGCTTTCTTATGGTTTGGAGACGACATCCCTTTGCTTTTTTATGGTTTTGAGACGACATTCCCTTGCTTTCTTATGGTTTGAAGACATCCCCTTGCTTTCTTATGGTTTGAAGACATCCCCTTGCTTTCTTATGGGTTGGGGACGACATCCCCTTGCTTTCTTATGGTTTGGAGATGACATCCCGTTGCTTTCTTATGGTTTGGAGACGACATCCCTTTGCTTTCTTATGGTTTGGAGACGACATCCCCTTGCTTTCTTATGGTTTGAAGAGATCCCCTTGCTTTCTTATGGTTTGGAGACGACATTCCCTTGCTTTCTTATGGTTTGGCGACGACATCCCTTTGCTTTCTTATGGTTTGGAGACGACATCCCCTAGCTTTCTTATGGTTTGGAGATGACATCCCGTTGCTTTCTTATGGTTTGGAGACGACATCCCTTTGCTTTCTTATGGTTTGGAGACGACATCCCTTTGCTTTTTTATGGTTTGGAGACGACATTCCCTTGCTTTCTTATGGTTTGGAGGCGACATCCCTTTGCTTTTTTTATGGTTTGGAGACGACATTCCCTTGCTTTCTTATAGTTTGGCAACGACATCCCTTTGCTTTCTTATGGTTTGGAGACGACATCCCTTTGCTTTTTTTATGGTTTGGAGACGACATTCCCTTGCTTTCTTATAGTTTGGCAACGACATCCCGTTGCTTTCTTATGGTTTGGAGACGACATCCCTTTGCTTTTTTATGGTTTGGAGACGACATTCCCTTGCTTTCTTATGGTTTGAAGACATCCCCTTGCTTTCTTATGGTTTGGAGAGTTTTAAGACATCCCCTTGCTTTCTTATGGTTTGGAGAGTTTTAAGACATCCCCTTGCTTTCTTATGGTTTGGAGACGACATCCCTTTGCTTTCTTATGGTTTGGAGACGACATCCCTTTGCTTTCTTATGGTTTGGAGACGACATCCCCTAGCTTTCTTATGGTTTGGAGATGACATCCCGTTGCTTTCTTATGGTTTGGAGACGACATCCCTTTGCTTTCTTATGGTTTGGAGACGACATCCCCTTGCTTTCTTATGGTTTGGAGACAACATCCCCTTGCTTTCTTATGGTTTGGAGACGACATTCCCTTGCTTTCTTATAGTTTGGCAACGACATCCCGTTGCTTTCTTATGGTTTGGAGACGACATCCCTTTGCTTTTTTTATGGTTTGGAGACGACATTCCCTTGCTTTCTTATGGTTTGGAGGCGACATCCCTTTGCTTTTTTTATGGTTTGGAGACGACATTCCCTTGCTTTCTTATGGTTTGAAGACATCCCCTTGCTTTCTTATGGTTTGGAGAGGACATTCCCTTGCTTTCTTATGGTTTGGAGACGACATTCCCTTGCTTTCTTATGGTTTGAAGACATCCCCTTGCTTTCTTATGGGTTGGGGACGACATCCCCTTGCTTTCTTATGGTTTGGAGAGGACATTCCCTTGCTTTCTTATGGTTTGGAGACGACATCCCCTTGCTTTCTTATGGTTTGAAGAGATCCCCTTGCTTTCTTATGGTTTGGAGACGACATCCCCTAGCTTTCTTATGGTTTGGAGATGACATCCCGTTGCTTTCTTATGGTTTGGAGACGACATCCCTTTGCTTTCTTATGGTTTGGAGACGACATCCCCTTGCTTTCTTATGGTTTGGAGACATCCCCTTGCTTTCTTTTGGTTTGGAGACATCCCCTTGCTTTCTTATGGTTTGGCGACGACATCCCTTTGCTTTCTTATGGTTTGGAGACGACATCCCCTTGCTTTCTTATGGTTTGGAGACATCCCCTTGCTTTCTCATTGTTCAGAGATATCCTGTTGCTTTCTTATGGCTTCAGAAACACATAATTGCCTCATTATGGTTTGCACACATCTTTTTAGCCGCCTTATAGTTTAGAGACCTCCACTTGCCCTCCTCAGGTTTGAAGACATTCTCTTACTTACGGTTTTAGAGACACTGCTTTAAATCCTGATGGTTTTGGAGACATCTCTGCCTTCTTATGCTATAATCCCAGAGGTTTCTTTTAAATTTGTTTTGATTATCATCTTTATATAAGTTAAGAAACTTCAAAAAATCTTTTACATGACCAAAGTTGTTGCTAATATACTATATAACATGTCTATAATCATTACACAAGTCTTTCACATACTTGTAAGTGGCAGAAGCTAGTCTCTGGCACAAAGTTAATGTTGATTGTTTTATAATCAACTATCATTTCACTTGTCAATTAAACTATGCATCATGCTAATGACATATCTACTTTCACTTTTTACTTTCACTTTGACCTACAACTGCTACAGATAGACTTGTATGAAGCATTTTGATTTATGGTGTGTTGCGTTGACTTTGTAATGTGCATTTTTGATTTGAAATACATAAATATAATCAGAGAAATGGTCAGTAATTGGTCAGTGATTGGTCAATAATATATGTATAATCATAAGTTACATGGAGATTATTTAACATACTTGTAATCTAGTGTATAATTTTATGTACTGGAACCTGTCTTCTCTGACAAATTTTATCACCAAATCAAAAAAGTGTATACATGTATTAATTACTTAACAATTTTCAATAAGATTCATCAGTTTGGAAATATGCGATATCAAAGTTTTTACACAAATGATCTGTATTATGATGCCATAATTTTACATAAAATTTTGAATTAATTTTTATTGATTTGTATTTAAATTGATTATTTGCATATACTTTTCATATATTTGAATTGTTTTGAACAAAATTGATCAGTCAACTGTAAGAAACATCAAGGCCGGTATTCATGAAAGTGTTCTCATATGCTCAAACTCAAGTTTTGTGCTCAAGCCTAATATTTTAATCCAGTGATAAATTAATACAAAAACAACATTTTGTCAATGAACTTGAAAAGTTTTGAAGAGACTTTGACCAAATTTTGTTTTCGTGTTTAAACTTGACTTTTTGACCGTGTGACATGATTTTAATCCAGTTACAAGGAAGTAGGTTTGAGCACAGAATCCATGCTTGAGTACGAAAAACGGTTTCGTGACTACGGGCCCAGGTCAGTATAAGACAGGAGACATGTGGCTGGTATAACATAGTTATCAGTAATATATGACATCTGGTGGCCATTACATATCACATACTGACACAGGATCATGCAATTTGAAACAATTTTGGGATGAAAATTAAATTCATATATGGATAATGCAATATTTCTGTCTCAAATAAGAAGTTCGGTCATTTAAATGTGATGCTTTATTTAAGGTGTGGCCAAACAACATTATTATCATAAAGCCAGCTAGTTACCTGGTAAAATCTAAAAAAGAAATTGTGCTTAAATTCTCATTTCTTTACATTATTGTAAAAATCGATTCATATATACATAGTCTTATACAAGTTTTAAGAAAATTCACAGTTTAAATATTTGAACATATATTTAAGAAATGAAAATCAGATGCCTTGACAATCAATGTTATCACTTTGTGAGGGTACAGACATAGTGGGTCTGAGTTCGAACAGTGTTATTTAATACAAAAATCTGATAATGATATGAATGAAGTATTTCATTTTCAGGAACGAATTTGTTCTATTTCCATATATGATCATGTGAAATGTTAGATTTGTTGAGCCTATGATAATTGATAGCCTTGTATAGAAATAAGACTGTGGTAATGTTACCAGTATCGCTGTGATTCCTTTGTAGGGGGAGACCTATAATTACAAAGAAGCCATAATTCTGGCCACCTTTAAAGTAGATGACAGCCAGTTACCAAAAGAGACGCCGGTGAAGCGAGGGGATAAGGTACAACACATCTTTGGGAACAGATTTTCCAAACATGAATTAGACTTGTTAGTCTAGTCATCCTGGTTTCATATTCCATATTCATTTTAAGTTTTGCGTTTCACTGAAGGTATAAGTGCTAGACCAAACAGACTTGGACCATGCATGCATCATCTCAGGTAGTACATCTCAACCCATGCATCAAATGCTTGATGCGGTCTACCTTTCATTGTCCATTGACTTTGTCAGCATCACCATCAATATTAAGTTTTTGCGTTTAAATTAGTTTCTCTAAGTGCTAGACCAATCAAACTTGACATGTGCATTGATGGTCAAAGCAGGGCACGGGCGAGACATATCAATCCGAATGGCTTGTTCTTTATTAAATGATTCAATAAACTGGCCACCTAGGAGGTCAAGTGATGGCAAGGCAAGTCCATAGATAAAATTGATGAAAAAGAAATCCAGCATTATATCATTTTCAATCTAGTGATTTAAACCTGGAACTAAAATTTTAAAAAAAAGCTTTTGAAATGATCAAACTGACTGGAAAACAGTTCTGTCAAATTTTAATATTCATTATAGATATTTCCGAACAAGTTGAAAATACTGATAAAAGTGTACTTTTAATTTGCAGTGGAATACATTTTCTTTGGTGCAGAAAGATAACAGAACAGTATATACATTTGGTGCCAAAACAGAAGATATGCGGTCAAGATGGATAGAGGCCATCAAATTAGCATTGTAAGTCGATATACCTATTCAGGTGCTAACACATTCACAAAGTCTGTGACAATACCAACATGTTATAAACATTTGAATATATACTTAATATTATATATAAAATCAATTAAAGCACTGGTTCTGCTATATATTTACTGCTTTTGTTTTGCAGAGAAAACACACAGCCACCAGATCATCCAAACTTTGTGATGCATACGTTTGAAAAGCCAACAGAATGTTATGTGTGTGCAAAGCTTTTACGGTATGAAAATAGTCGTTTAGTTTTTGGCAAATATTTTCTGGGATGAGGAATTTAAGCTCACCTGGCACTAAGTGGTGTGTTGTCTGTCGTCCTTCAATGTTTTCTTTGAACAACTTCTTAGAACCATGATTTTTGACCAGTAGGTACCTTGGACTAAGTTTCCCCAAATAGATTACCTTGACCTACTTTCAAGATCACAGGGGTCAAATATTTAAAAATCTTTAAACAACTCCTTTTGCATTACCAGGAGGCCCTGGGTGATGATATTTGACCGGTAGTATGTTGGAACATTCTAAAACCTAGGAGACTCAATATATGGAAATTACTTCTATTGAAAACATTTTCCCTTGATTGCTCAAATATCAAAGTGAGCAATATAGGCCCTTTGGGCCTCTTGTTTAGACTGTGTCAGGTTAGGAAAGCCCAGTGTCCGATCAATTAGAACAAACTATAATGTATTGTTTAACATATGCATGTGTAGATTTCTTAGTACAACAGGAACATTAATATTTACAGGTAATTTAGGTTTATTATGGGGATCTTGTTTATCAGGAATTAAAGTTATGTCATCATGTTCATTGGTTGTTATTGTCTGTGTACCATCAATATGAATTAATAATTGCTACCTAATATACTTATTTATCAACAAACACCCACACCCAAAAAGTTTTATGTTGCAGAGGGGGCAAACTTATTTTACAGAATGGAAATAATAATGATGCTGTTTTTGTTTCAGTGGTGTGTTTTTCCAGGGTTATTGGAACGCAGGTAAGATTCTTTTATGTCTTCATCTCTACAGCATTGTGGCGAATGTTGGAGACGGATTATTCCTGATCAAAAGGCAGATAACCTATAGTTAAAGACTATCCTAATCAAAGGGCAGATAATCTTTAGTTAAAGACTTTCCTGATCAAAGGGCAGATAACCTATAGTTAAAGGCCATCAGGGCAGATAATCTATAGTTAAAGACTTTCCTGATCAAAGGGCAGATAATCTATAGTTGAAGACTATCCTAATCAAAGGGCAGATAATCTATAGTTAAAGCCTATCCTAATCAAAAGGCAGATAACCTATAGTTAAAGACTATCATGATCAAAGGGCAGATAATCTATAGTTAAAGACTATCCTGATCAAAGGGCAGATTATTCCTGATCAAAAGGCAGATAACCTATAGTTAAATACTATCCTAATCAAAGGGCAGATAATCTATAGTTAAATACTTTCCTGATCAAAGGGCAGATAATCTATAGTTGAAGACTATCCTAATCAAAGGGCAGATAATCTATAGTTAAAGCCTATCCTAATCAAAAGGCAGATAACCTATAGTTAAAGACTATCCTGGTCAAAGGGCAGATAACCTATAGTTAAAGACTATCCTAATCAAAAGGCAGATAACCTATAGTTAAAGACTATCATGATCAAAGGGCAGATAATCTATAGTTAAAGACTATCTTGATCAAAGGGCAGATAGCCTATAGTTAAAGACTTTCCTGATCAAAGGGCAGATAACCTATAGTTAAAGACTATCCTAATCAAAAGGCAGATAGCCTATAGTTAAAGACTATCCTGATCAAAAGGCAGATAACCTATAGTTAAATACTATCCTAATCAAAGGGCAGATAATCTATAGTTCAAAAAGACTTTCCTGATCAAAAGGCAGATAATCTATAGTTAAGACTATCCTGATCAAAGGGCAGATAATCTATAGTTAAAGACTAACCTGATCAAAGGGCAGATAATCTATAGTTAAAGACTAACCTGATCAAAGGGCAGATAATCTATAGTTAAAGACTAACCTGATCAAAGGGCAGATAATCTATAGTTAAAGACTAACCTGATCAAAGGGCAGATAATCTATAGTTAAAGACTATCCTGATCAAAGGGCAGTTAACCTATAGTTAAAGACTATCCTAATCAAAAGACAGATAACCTATAGTTAAAGACTATCCTGATCAAAGATAACTTGCTGTTAATACTACCTTGTTTACTTGCTTTCTCAGATTTGGAGATTAAGTTGAATATCACAATAATGCTTTATAAGCTTGTTACACTTGCCGATCAGATGTCCTAAGAAAGGTATGGAAAAAGTCACATCACATCTGATAAAAATTAGAGCACGATGATAAGACAGAAATAATGTACCAGAAAACTTATCATTACCTATAGTTAAAGACTATCCTGGTCAAAGGGCAGATAACCTATAGTTAAAGACTATCCTGATCAAAGGGCAGTTAACCTATAGTTAAAGACTATCCTAATCAAAAGGCAGATAGCCTATAGTTAAAGACTATCCTGATCAAAAGGCAGATAACCTATAGTTAAAGAATATCCTAATCAAAGGGCAGATAATCTATAGTTAAAGCCTATCCTAATCAAAAGGCAGATAACCTATAGTTAAAGACTATCCTAATCAAAGGGCAGATAATCTTTAGTTAAAGACTTTCCTGATCAAAGGGCAGATAATCTATAGTTGAAGACTATCCTAATCAAAGGGCAGATAATCTATAGTTCAAAAAGACTTTCCTGATCAAAAGGCAGATAATCTATAGTTAAGACTATTCTGATCAAAGGGCAGATAATCTATAGTTAAAGACTATCCTAATCAAAAGGCAGATAACCTATAGTTAAAGACTATCCTGATCAAAGGGCAGATAACCTATAGTTAAAGACTATCCTGATCAAAGATAACTTGCTGTTAATACTACCTTGTTTACTTGCTTTCTCAGATTTGGAGATTAAGTTGAATATCACAATAATGCTTTATAAGTTTGTTACACTTGCCGATCAGTTGTCCTAAGAAAGGTATGGAAAAAGTCACATCACATCTGATAAAAATTAGAGCACGATGATAAGACAGAAATAATGTACCAGATAACTTATCATTGGGGCCAACTTTAGTAAGTGGCTACAAATTGAGGAAGTCAGTTTTAATGTTTCTTGATTTTATTTCTAGGCAACTTGTTGGTTATAAAAATATGATGTTAGAATTGTGATATTAACTTGAAACCATTAAGTAGGATGACTTAAGGTATTTTGATAATCCTGGTCAAAAAGTGGGCATTTCTAAATAATTATTTGTACTGGTTTCTAGTGTATATAGAACTTTAACTTTCAACATTTGACTTACAGAAAAGAAGCAAGGTGTTCACAAAGAATGTATAGGAAAGGAGAGAGAAAGAGGTAAGTCTGTGTTCATGGTGATAGCGTGTTACTAGGCCTTTAAGTCTGTGTTCCTGGTGATAGTGTGTTACTAGGCCTTTAAGTCTGTGTTCCTGGTGATAGTGTGTTACTAGGCCTTTAAGTCTGTGTTCATGGGGATAGGGTGTTACTAGTCCTTTAAGTCTGTGTTCCTGGTGATAGTGTGTTACTAGGCCTTTAAGTCTGTGTTCATGGGGATAACGTGTTACTAGTCCTTTAAGTCTGTGTTCATTGTGATAGCGTGTTACTAGTCCTTTAAGTCTGTGTTCCTGGTGATAGTGTGTTACTAGGCCTTTAAGTCTGTGTTCATGGTGATAGTGTGTTACTAGTCCTTTAAGTCAGTGTTCATGGTTTGTTACTAGTCCTTTAAGTCTGTGTTTATGGTGATTGTGTGTTACTAGGCCTTTAAGTCTGTGTTCATGGTGATAGTGTGTTACTAGTCCTTTAAGTCAGTGTTCATGGTGATAGTGTGTTACTAGGCCTTTAAGTCTGTGTTCATGGTGATAGCGTGTTACTAGTCCTTTAAGTCTGTGTTCATGGTGATAGTGTGTTACTAGTCCTTTAAGTCAGTGTTCATGGTGG